GATGGTATTGAGTCACTCTCTCTTTCAGCCTGGCTTCCCTCACAGAGACGCTCTGAGGATTTATGAGTTACATTGCGCAATTTGTTCTGCACAATCCCTTTGGGATTGGCTGCTCTAAAGAAAACCCCATTCCCTCCGTAAGCCCATGTGCCATGTAGGTGGGAGGACTCAGCAACCGTTCAATGAGGGCTGCGCATGCTCAGAGGCCGTGGGATGCTTGACAGTGGGGAAAAGATAGGGATTTCCCCAGCTGCTCCATTATTCCAGTTGGCAGCAGGGGGGTGCGGGTGGCGCTGTGGTCTTTTCCTCCAAGGGGCTCAAGGCGGTTCCTCCTGCCCCCCACCCCACCCCACTTTATCTTCACAACAACCACACGAGGTAGGTTGGCCCCAGAGATGTTGGCTGGCCCACGAGCTTCATGGTTGAGAGGAGATTCGAACCCTGGTTCTCAAAGTCTTCGTCCAACACTCTAACCTTTATGTCACAATGTAGGACAAACAACTTACTCCTTAACTTAAAGAAAACAAAAGAGATCACTGTGGACTTTAGGAAATGTAAATTGAATATTCAGCCACTTATTATTGAGGGGAAGTGCGTGGAACAGGTCTCGGTGTTTCGATTTCTGGGAATGGAGCTGAGAGATGACCTAACCTGGGGAGAAAACAGCAAAGACCTGATGAAGAGAGCACAGCAGAGGTTATATTTTCTGAGAATCCTCCAGAAAAACAATCTCTCAAAGGACCTGTTGATGGCATTTTACCATTGCACTGTGGAGAGCGTATTAACTTATGGTCTGTGTGTGTGGTTTGGGAGCTGCACGGCCAGGGAAAAAACAATGCTGTCCAGGGTTGTAAAGACTGCGGAGAGAATAATTGGGTTCACTCTTCCCACCTTGGATCAAATCTATGCTTCCAGGTGCCACAAGAAAGCGGCAGAGATAGCGCAGGATAGTGCGCACCCCGGAAATGATCTCTTTCAGCTTCTGCCTTCTGGAATAAGGTACAGTGGTGCCCCGCAAGACGAATGCCTCGCAAGACGAAAAACTCGCTAGACAAAAGAGTTTTCCGTTTTTTGAGTCGTTCCGCAAGACGAATTTCCCTATGGGCTTGCTTCGCAAGACAAAACGTCTTGCGAGTTCTTGCGAGTTTGTTTCCTTTTTCTTAAAGCCGCTAAGCCGTTAATAGCCGCTAAGTCGCTAAGCCGTTAATAGCCGCTAAGCCGCTAATAGCCGCTAAGCCGCTAATAGCCGTGCTTCGTAAGACGAAAAAACCGCAAGACAAAGAGACTCGTGGAACGGATTAATTTCGTCTTGCGAGGCATCACTGTATAGGGTTATAAAGACTAGGACTAGCCGCCTGAGAAACAGTTTCTACGCAAATGCAATTCTGGTTCTAAACGCAGCATAAGGGGTCTCTATAGTCTAGTGTATTTTAAAGTGGGGTTTCAGAGTTTTTAGGGGTTTTTGAATGTTTTATGTATTTTTTCAGTTTCATTGTTCTGCATGGGAGAATGACAATAAAGATATCGTATATCATATATATAGCAAGGCAAGCTGCCCTTAAACTTAAAAAGATGCTGCACACGAGGAAAGAAGGGTGGGGAGGGGAAAGAAAACAGCAAGTGCCTTAAAGTCACAGTTCTTATACAGACCAGCTGGGATGGAAACAGTTCAAGTAGCCCAGCCTTGACCTACTTCTGGCCCAGGCCGTGCCGGCAACTTGGGTATATGGCTAGCTGACAGCAGTCCGCGGCCGCTCTGGTTTCAGACAGACAGAAAGAGCTCTTTCCCATCCTTGCTTCCTGAAATCCTTTGAGATGGGGGCTGGGGCTGGGATGTACATTTCCAAAATATAAGATAAAAAATAAAATAAAATAAAACCTACATACAGCAACAGTGTTTTGTGTTGTCTAGGCTCCTATTTGTTACGTGCAAAAGGCTTTCTATACCTATGGGGTCCATAAATTACCATATAGCATATATTCAACATAAAAAACAGCGACAATTTGTTGTGGACAAAGGACAGCTGGACATATAAAGGGCCCCACTACCTTCAGTAGCTTAGGGCCCTGCCTATGACACCTGTTGCTGGAATCTGCAGGTGGGGAGAGTTCCGCTGGGGCCCAGTTCCTGCTTGTGGTTTTCCCAGCATGGGCATCCGGTTGGCCCCTTTGAGACCACGATACTGGACTTAGATGGGCCTGATCCACCAGCCTGCTCTTACGTTCCTAAACACTAGACCAGCATTGGCCAACGAAAGGTAAAAAGTCCGTTGTGGTTTATTGCTTTGAAGCGTCAACAAACATTTCTCATTTTTATTTTTAACAACTCCGGCTCTCGGTTTTGCAGGATCAGAAAGGTGCAAAATCTCTGATGAAACATGCTGGTCAACCCACCCAGCAAGGCTCTTGCTGGGAGACCCCCAGCCTTTGGCCCCACAAAGCTCTCTCTGTGGCCCTTGAGACCCTCTCAGCCACAATCTTGACTGGCCATGCTTTGCACCAGCCTAGTGTGTTTTTGCCTGCCTCACATGTGTCCTTCAGCTTGGATAATGCTTCTTCCTTGCCTGGGTGAGGGATAGAGAGCGGTTTGTGTGTCTAGGAAGCAGCCTATTCTTCAAAGGCAGACATTTACCGTATTTTTCGCTCTATAGGACACACTTTTCCCCCTTCAAAAATGAAGGGGAAATGTGTGTGCGTCCTATGGAGCGAATGCAGGCTCCTTGGCTTCAGCGATAACAACTGGAAGCCTCCAAAGCGCAGAGGGAGCGCTCCCTCCGCGCTCCGGAGGCTTCGTGTTGCTTTCGCTGAAGCCTAGAGAGCGAGAGGGGTCGGTGCGCACCAACCCCTCTCGCTCTCCAGGCTTCAGGCAGCTATCCGCAAGCCTTCGGAGCACGCCCCCAGCCCCACAAGCTCCAGGAGCGGCGGCAAGGCTGCGCGCAACCTTGCTGCCGCTCCCAGACCTGTTCTGGGGGCTGGGGTCGGGGGAAGCTCGGGCTTCCCTGCCCCAACCCCGTGGCTAAAAACAAAGCCAAGACAGTGAGCGGGATCCATAATTTTTTTTTCTTTATTTCCCCCCCTAAAAACTAGGTGCGCCCTATAGTCCGGTGCGCCTTATGGAGCGAAAAATACGGTACATTTGTTGCTCTGTCCCCTTTTGCCTCTGAGCCACCTAATGCCCAACACTGGCATGTGGCCCTCAGATGGTTGCCCAGAAGAGAATGTGGCCTCTCTCCTCCATCCAGATGATCACGGATCGTTCTCCGAGTTCAAGGACAAATTCCAGCCTGGCAAAAACAACCCAGGAGGGTGTGGAGCAGGGCTGGTAAAGGGCATGGCCTGTGGTGTGGGTATGTGAGGAAGGTGTGTCCCAGATAACTGGACCCAGATTTTGGACCCTGGGCCTGAGGTTCCACACCCCTGCCTTAGGAAACTGCCCCACCCAGCCTTTTTCCCACCTCACTGCCCATATATGGGCAGTGACATCATCTCTCAGGGAAGGGAGTAACAGTAAGAGGGATTCCTTGCAGAAGCTACCTGACAGCTGGCAAGTCTAGGAATCATAGAGTTGGAAGGATCTCCAAGGGTCCTCTAGTCCAGCCCCCTGCAATGCAGGAATCCCAGCTAAAGCACCCACCCAATCTCTGCTTGAAAACCTCCAAGGAAGAAGAGCCCACCATCTCCCGAAGGAGACCTTTCCACCGTCGAACAGCTGGAATCTCCTTTCTTGTAACTTGAAGCCACTGGTTTGAGTCCTACTCTCTGGAGCAGGAGAAAACAAGCTTTCTCCATCTTCCATGTGAAAGCCCTTGAGATATTTGAAGATGGCTCTCATCTAGTCCAACCCTCTGCAATGCAGGAATCTCAGCTAAAGCAACCACGGCAGGTGGCCCTCCAACCTCTGCTTTATGGCCTCCCAGGAAAGGGAGCCCACAACCTCCTGAGGGGGTCTGGAAGCATTATTGCTACTCAGCAGGCAGCATCCCAGCCCAACCTGACCTGGGCAGAGGAAGGATGGAAGGATTAACCAGGGTAACCAAGAAGCATCACCAGAGTCCGAGGACACATTCCAGTGAGGCAATAATATTAGACAATGGTGGGAAGCAGGGCGGGTGGGAGATGTGCCCTGGGGCAGAGGACTTGTGTCTCAGAAGGGTGTGTGGCCTGGAGACAGTTCTGAAGACCAGGTAGATAGACCTTTGGCCCCTTAGCCTGAGATTTCCCACACCTGTGATAGATGGGAGAGGAAATACGGGTGGTTTCTTAATTATAAGAAAGATTGATGCACCTCCCATTCTAATCCAGAAAAAAAAGGGGGGTCCCAGGTGTCAACAGTTTGAGAAATGTGGGTAGTTCATGGCTGGGTTTCTCTTCACGGCTGGAGGATCCCCAAATGAGGTGGTTTTTTTGGCTGTTTCTGAGTAACCTGGTCACCAAGTGAGGACTTGCATGTATGCTCCTCTGTTAGCTGAGGGGGCATCTATTTTGAGCACATTCTAAACCAGAACTGCAAGAGAACTTGAAGGTCTTGGTGCTCATGGGCAAGGACAGGGGCCCTGTCCAAAGACCCGTTTGTAGCTTTGCACTTTCCAAGCCACACATCTGACCTGGAGTCCATTTTTGGTCCCAGCCAGCCTCCATCTCTCTGCCCCAAGAAAGACAATAGCACTGCCTGTCTGGCTGGACTTGACTGTTCCAGAGCGTTGACATGATTCCTTTGCAAACTGTTCTGTAAACATATGTCTTATGCTCAAATTATTTAAGGAGATCATGTGCTCTATGCATCATTGCTCAGCAGCTCAAAAGATGAATGTACAATTTTAATTGAAAAATAAAGTAGATTTGTTCTGCATGTGTGAATGAGTCATCGCAGAGTAATCCCACAGACCAAGCTTTCATCTTCTCACCTCCCATGTTCTTCAGTGGGGTCTGTTCACACCTTTGGATGTGAGTTGTCCAGTGGTGAGGGATGTAGGGATGGAAGCCCACCTCAGATGTAAGACCTATGCCTTATAGTGTCGGCCAAACATGTGCCTGCGATAGCAGCAAAACACACCCACCCCGACAACGACCAGGGACAGAGCCAGGACAGCTGCCACCAAGATCAAGACGCTCATCTTCTTGAGGTCTTCCTTCTCGCAATCTTCTGGCCTGATGTCCCTGACCGCCATTTCTTCTTCGTAGCCAAAGCTCTTGGCGTACTGACATTTGGTGAGGTCCAAGTTGGGGATCTCCACAGTGGCCCTGTGGATCATTTGGGAGAGCCAAATGTTCCCGCAGCAACTGAGCGGGTTGCCCGCCAGGTACAAGTTCCGTAGGTTCTTCTCCAAAGTTGGGATCTTGCTACCTTTGAGGTCGCTGAAGCTGTTGTTCTGCAGATCCAGGACTTCCAAAGAACAGCAGTTCTCAGACCAAGCAGGCAACCAGCTCAATCGGTTGTCTGACAAGTTGAGATATACGAGGTGCGGGAAAAGCGGGAAGTCAGTGCTCAGAGATGTCATGCCATTCCCGTGCAAATCCATATATTTTAGAGACATCTCCAAGCCCGAGAAAGATTTGGGCTCTATGTGGAGTCCCCAGTTCAGAGAGAGGTCCAAGGCCACGAGTTGAGTCCTGTAGAAAGCATGCATGGGAATCCTCTTCAGTTTGTTGTCCGAAAGATACAAGTGCTGAAGTTCAGGAAGGTCAACAAACGAGATGCAGCCGCGGTCCTCCCCAGCGAGCCTTTTCCTGGCTAACCCTGAATAGAAGCCACAAAGACAGAGGTTGTTGCTTCGGAGGTTCAGGAGTGAGAGGCGAGGGAGGTGGGCAAAGATGTCTGGTGGCAGCACTTGGAGACGGTTGCTTTGGAGGAAGAGCTTCTGCAAGTTGACCAGGGTGCCCAAACCCCATTCCAGATGCTGCAAAGAGTTAGAACTGAGGTCGAGGATGGTCAGTGAGACCAGCTCGGCACTTGCCATGAAAGTCTGGAGGCAGTTTTTGCTGAGGTTGAGAACCTGAAGGGCAGACATGGAAGTAAAGAACTCGCTTGGGATGGTTTGGATCTCATTGTAGCTCAGGTCCAAATATAACAGTCCAGGCAGATGTGGAGAGATGGTGGTGTTCTTCTGAGCCTGGTTCTGAAGACCAAGAGTTGTGTCCATCCAGCCGTAGTCGCCATCATCGTCATCACGTGGAGATTCCACCATAACAAACTGCATTATGTTCTTGGATAAATTCAGGTAGGCCAGTTTGCTTGCCTGCGTGAGAAATGGGAACCGGAGGAGCTTATTCTCGCTCAAGTCCAGCCAAACCAGGTTGAACTCCTCCTCGGATTTGGTGGAATGGAAGGTCTCGATGCTGTTCCGGCTGAGATCGAGAACTCTCAGCTGTTTCAGGTTGAAGCCAGCAATACAGGTGAGGGAGTTCATAGAGAGGTTGAGCTTGGAGAGTTGTGGCAGGATCTCAAAGGCTCCTTCTTCTATCTCCATGATCATATTGCTGTGAAGGTTCACTTCAACCAGACCTGGAGACCCCTGGAACGTCCTCTGTGAAATTTCTATAATGCTGTTCTCCGCCAATGAAAGATGCTGAAGTGAAGGAGCTTTGTGGATGAAATGTTCAGCCATCCCTGTGTAGAGTCTGTTGCGGGACAAGTCTAGCGTTCTGACTTGGGGGAGCGAGCCAAGCCACAGGTCATGTTGAGCCAACTGGTAGAGCTGGTTGTCGGCCAAGTTGATCTCCTCCAAATTCCTCATATCTCTGAAGATTTCAGACTCGATGAAACCGATATAATTGGAACTTAAGTCTAGATGGCGGAGGGAGGTGTAAAAAGCCAGGGGACTCTCTGTGATGTTCAGGAGCTTGTTTTTGGAGAGGTCGATTTTACGTAAATTTGGGTGAAGCTCCGGAGGTATCTGGTGAAGATCTTTGCCGTGACAAAATGCCTCCATACTTCTCTACAGAAAAGGAGAAAGAGAGAGAGAGAGCGGAATGAGCTAGGATGAGATTCACATTGCCTACAGCTCAAAGCCATCCAACGAAAATAAAGGTTGGAAGATTCGGGGCAGATAAAAGAGGGAACCTCGAAACACTGCACAGAATTAAATTATGGGGACCATAATAAATAAATTCCGATTTTTTATTAGGAATTGTAGGTACCGATATTCCAAAAGAGCAGAAAAGACTTTTTATGTATGCGACAACATACTAGCCCCAAAATGGAAAGAAGATAAAGTCTCTACCAGAGAGAAATGGCAAATTAAGCTGTTGGACTACGCCAAAATGGCGAGACTGACCGGAAAGCTCAGGAACCAAGAAGACCAAAACTTCAATAAAGAAAGGGAAAAATTTATAATTTATCTTGGATAACACTTGTAATGTAGCAAATGCTATGGATAAAATGGAGAGACATAAAACATGGATTATGAAATAATATGCAGTTGAAAAGGATGACAATAGGACCCATGGAAGGGAAGGTGGGAATTTGAGAGATTAGGAGAAATCTCTAAATAAGGATATGTATTTTTGTATTATAGAATCATAGAATCATAGAGTTGGAATAGACCACAAGGGCCATCGAGTCCAACCCCCTGCCAAGCAGGAAACACCATCAGAGCACTCCTGACATATGGTTGTATTGTACTGTTATGATTCTATATCTGTAAAATCCAATAAAAATTATTTCAAAAAAATATTATGGGGATTATAGACTTGTAGAGTTGAAAGGAACCCCAAAGGTCATTTAGTCCAACCCCTGCAATGCAGGGATATTTTGCCCATTGTGTGGCTCAAACCCACAAACCTCTGAGTCTCACGCTCTACCAACAGAGTTATCCCTCTGTGGCATGCATGCAGTAATGTCCTTGCAGGAGAAGTTGTGATGGCCACAGACTTAGAGGACCAGACAAATTCACGGACACAGTGGTACCTTGGTTCTCAAATGCCTTGGATCTCAAATGCCGGAAACCTGGAAGTGAGTGTTTCGGTTTTTGAATGTTTTTTGGAAGCTGAACATCCACTGTGGCTGTCAGCTATTGTTTCCGGGGCACCTGTACCAATCCCTTCTTGTCTGCATCTATCAGTGGTAGGCAACCCAAGGCCCACAGGCTGGATGCGGCCCAATTGCCTTCTCAATCCGGCCTGCGGACGGTCCAGGAATCAGTGTGTTTTTACATGAGCAGAATGTGTGCTTTTATTTAAAATGCATCTCTGGGTGATTTGTGGGGCATAGGAATTTGTTCATTTCCCTCCCTAAAAAAAATATAATATAGTCCCGCCCACCACCTCGTCTGAGGGACGGTGGACTGGCCCACGGCTGAAAAAGGTTGCATCTGTCATTGGAGATTTTGCTGAGCACCCTCCCCACCCATCATAATTCCCAAACAAAGCCTCTATATCTCTTTCCATATGGGGGGGGCTCCCCCCTCTCACCACCCTCTCCTTTCCTGCCCAGACATTACTTTTGAACCCCGTCCAAGTTTCTCCAGATCTCTCTTCTGCTTTGCAAATATAATCTCCTTTCTTTCTTGGCTCCGCGACCGCAGTCTATTCGGGGGTATTCCATATGGAATAGGAAAGAATGCCGAAGGAAAACAGGATGCGTGTCGTTCACACGGGCTCCAGCCCTCGCAGGAACAGCCGAGGGAACTATTTGGGGGCTAGGCAATGCTTCGGACCTCTCTGAGGGGCCCATCGTTTTTTCAACTTACTCATGTTCCTTTGATCAGCAGCTTTGTTCTAACACTTCCCAAGGGGAATGTTCTTCCGAACATGAGAAGCTTCCTTCATGCTAAGACAGTTGTTGTTGTTGTTTAGTCGTTTAGTTGTGTCTGACTCTTTGTGACCTCATGGACCAGAGCACGCCAGACACTCCTGTCTTCCACTGCCTCCCGCAGTTTGGTCAGACTCATGTTTGTAGCTTCGAGAACACTGTCCAACCATCTCGTCCTCTGTCGTCCCCTTCTCCTTGTGCCCTCCATCTTTCCCAACATCAGGGTCTTTTCCAGGGAGTCTTCTCTTCTCAGGAGGTGGCCAAAGTATTGGAGCCTCAGCTTCAGGATCTGTCCTTCCAGTGAGCACTCAGGGCTGATTTCCTTCAGAATAGATAGATTTGATCTTCTTGCAGTCCATGGGACTCTCCAGAGTCTCCTCCAGCACCAGAATTCAAAAGCATCCATTCTTCGGTGATCAGCCTTCTTTATGGTCCAGCTCTCACTTCCATACATCACTAATGCTAAGACAGACCATCCACCAAATGAAGCTCAGTGTGGCCTGCACAGACTGCCAGCACCTCTCCAGGGTTTCCAGCACTGAATCTCTCCCACCCTTCCTGAAGGGAAGCAACCTGGGTTTTCTGCATGCAAAACAGATGCTCTACCCACTAGGCTATGGAAGCAGGCAGCTGCTACTTAGGTTAAGCAATGCCAGGCCAGATGTACTGATGGCCTGACTCAGTATGGCAGCTTTGTTTGCTGAGCAGATAATTGAATCCTTCTTTCAGTCCACCTGTTGGTGGCCCCAGATTGCTCTAGGTCAGGGGTGGCCAACTCCCAAGAAACTGTGATCTACTCAAAAATGGCAGTGATCTACCCCCTTTTTGGGGGTTCAGGTCAAAGTTGTTGGGTTTTTTCAGGGAGGAAGTAAAATGTTGAGCTTTTTTTAGGGGAGCCACAGTTGTTCAGCTTCTTTCGGGGAGCCAATGATCTACCAGTGATCTACTGCAGACGTCCAGTGATCTACCGGTAGATAATAATAATGATGATAAATTTTATTTATATCCTGCCCTCCCCAGCCAAAGCCGGGCTCAGGGCGGCTAACAACAATAAAATAATACAACATTCTAAAATCATTTCATTAAAATTAATTCAACTCAAATTGATGGCAACCATTAGGCTAAATTCTGTGAAGATTGCCAAAAGAGAGAGTCAGGCTGTGCCCTGACCAAAGGCCTGGTGGAACAGCTCTGTCTTGCAGGCCCTGCGGAAAGATGTCAAGTCCCACAGGGCCCTCGTCTCTTGTGACAGAGCGTTCCACCAGAATGGAGCCACAGCCGAAAAAGCCCTGGCTCTAGTTGAGGCCAGCCTAACCTCTCTGTGGCCTGGGACCTTCAGGATGTTTTTGTTTGAAGACCGTAAGTTCCTCTGTGGGACATACCAGGAGAGGCGGTCCCGTAGGTACGAGGGTCCTAGGCCTTATCACAATCTACCTGTTGGACATGCCTGCTCTAGGTGTCTTCATCCAAGACAACCCGGGGCTGTTTCCACCCATCTTAGGCAAAGCCCGGATCCCTCAAATATTCAGGAATCCTATAATTCCCGAGGAGAACTGAGCGAGAGTTCTTCAGAATGACTGTTCTCTGGGAAAACCCTCCCCAAAACATCTGCTGGTGCTTCAGCGTGGACAAAATCAGACAGGCAGAACTCTTTCGAAGGAGCTGAGCAACGTCCAGCTCACTCGTGCCTGTGAGTAATGCAAGATGTGTACAACTGCAGATGAACAGGCCGGACGAAGCACAGGCTACACCCAAATGGCACATTCCCCGGAGGCTTGGCTCACTGACTTGGGCGACAGCTCACAGTTGCTTCCATGCTAGAGCCCGCTGGCACTGTGAAGGGATTAGTAAAGGTAAAGGTAAAGGTACCCCTGCCCGTACGGGCCAGTCTTGCCAGACTCTAGGGTTGTGCGCTCATCTCACTCTATAGGCCGGGAGCCAGTGCTGTCCGCAGACACTTCCGGGTCACGTGGCCAGCGTGACAAGCTGCATCTGGCGAGCCAGCGCAGCACATGGAACGCCGTTTACCTTCCCACTGGTAAGCGGTCCCTATTTATCTACTTGCACCCGGAGGTGCTTTCGAACTGCTAGGTTGGCAGGCGCTGGGACCGAACGACGGGAGCGCACCCCGCCGCGGGGATTCGAACCGCCGACCATGCGATCGGCAAGTCCTAGGCGCTGAGGTTTTACCCACAGCGCCACCCGCATCCCCAGTGAAGGGATTACTCTTCCACAATTAACAGGGGTTAAAAGGGTGGTTCCACACTTAATATAGCATGATAGGGACCAGCAATGCCCTTCTCCTTGACCCAAATCCTGTTGTAACATGCATCCTATTTGGCTAAGGTCTCCAGCAATGTTAATTAAAAGTTTCCTGTTGGCAGGTTGCCCCTGAATTAGTCCTCTTCCACCCTTGTGTATATGTGTGTTAATTATTACAGTGGTACCTCGGGTTACATACGCTTCAGGTTATATACGCTTCAGGTTACAGATTCCGCTAACCCAGAAATAGTGCTTCAGGTTTTTTTGCTTGGGGTTTTTTTTTGGATTTGATATCCCGCTTTATCACTACCCAAAGGAGTCTCAAAGCGGCTAACATTCTCCTTTCCCTTCCTCCCCCACAACAAACACTCTGTGAGGTGAGTGGGGCTGAGAGACTTCAGAGAAGTGTGACTGGCCCAAGGTCACCCAGCAGCTGCATGTGGAGGAGCGGAGATGCAAAACCGGTTCACCAGATTACGAGTTTACCGCTCTTAACCACTACACCACACTGGCTCTCAGGTTAAGAACTTTGCTTAAGAACTTTAAGAAAACTTTTAAGAAAGGTTAAGAACTTTGCTTCAGGATGAGAACAGAAATCGTGCTCTGGTGGCACGGCAGCACCAGGAGTCCCCATTAGCTAAAGTGGTGCTTCAGGTTAAGAACAGTTTCAGGTTAAGTACGGATCTCCGGAATGAATTAAGTACTTAAACCGAGGTACTACTGTACTAGCCTCCAGCCATTCTTGTTAAAGTGTAATAGGAAGCAATCGAACGAATCTGAAAACAGGAAGCTTTTGATTAAAGGTACAGTTGCTCTTTAAAAGCCCAGGCAGCTCAAACCTTGCACAGGCTAGAAATGCATTTTCAAGCTCTCCTCTGGCCAAATCAGGTCTGCAAAAAACAAGGGAAGACAACCCAGCAAGCACTGGAACGCAACTATTTGGCAGCAATGCCGCATGGATTCCCTTTCCAACAAGAACAAGCAAAAGATGGGATTTCCAGAGTTTGTGTACAACTAACTCTTCAAGCAGGGCTGGTTGAAGACGACTCTGTGCACCCCTAAATTCCCTGATCAACTTGGGACATAAATTTAACAGGAAACTCTTCCGAAGAAGCTTTGTGGAAAGGCACAGGAGAGCATGAGAATGATTTCAAGATCTGCCAACGGAGAAGGCTGCCTGTCCTTGCTTTATGTTACAGCTGGCTCTCTGGCTTGAAGACAAGACGGCTTAACGAAACTTGAATCTCCTGACCTCCCCACGTCCTCACAGAGCATCCCAGTCAACAACGGCGGGAGAACGAGAGCTTTGCTCGGTCTTTGATTCGTTCCAGCGAAGAGACACTAGAATCGCTTGGCCAAGAACGAAGCATTAACAGGGCATAGCTGCCCTAAACCCTGGAGAGCAGCTGCCAGCCAGTGTAGCCTATAGGAACCTAGATGAATCCATGGTCTGAGTCATTCAAAGACAGCTTCTTGAGACTGGGCGCCTTTAGTTCAGTCTGGGAGACAGCGACATACAGGAAGAAGGCAGTAAACTCAGGTGACTATGGACAGGATTTGTAGAACAGATTATCACTGGGTGTGCATCTGCTGCAGGCCAGATCAGACTATGGAACTCTCTCTTACCCTCAGCTATTTCTCTGCAGAAAAGCACGACTGAAGTGATCCATTGTGGTTTCCTTATATAGTGGTACCTCAGTTGCGGACTGTCTCGCCAGAGTGGTGCAAGCTCTGGTTATCTTCCGCTTGGACTACTGCAATGCGCTCTACGTGGGGCTACCTTGGAAGGTGACCCGGAAACTACAACTAATCCAGAATGTGGCAGCAAGATGGGTGACTGGGAGCGGCCGCTGAGACCATATAACACCTTGAAAGACCTACATTGGCTCCCAGTACGTTTCCGAGCACAATTCAAAGTGTTGGTGCTGACCTTTAAAGCCCTAAACAGCCTTGGTCCAGTATATCTGAAGGAACGTCTCCACCCCCATCGTTCAGCCTGGACACTGAGGTCCAGTTCCAAGGGCCTTCTGGCAGTTCCCTCACTGAGAGAAGCCAAGTTACAGGGAACCAGGCAGAGGGCCTTTTTGGTAGTGGCACCCACCCTGTGGAATGCCCTCCCACCAGATGTCAAAGAGAACAACAACTACCAGACTTTTAGAAGACATCTGAAGGCAGCCCTGTTTAGGGAAACTTTTAATGTTTGATGTATTACTGTATTTTAATATTTTTTTGTGAAGCCGCCTAGAGTAGCTGGGGAAGCCCAGCCAGATGGGTGGGGTATAAATAAATTTTTATTTTTATTTTTATTTTTATTTTTATTTTTATTTTTATTTTTATTTTTATTTTTATTTTTATTTTTATTTTTATTTTTATTTTTATTATTAACTCAGGTGTCAAACGTAATCCATTCCGGAATACCGTTCGACTTCCAAAAGAGTTAACAACCGAGGCTCAATGGGTGGTTGGCAAATGTCATTGAGAAAATGGAGACTGTTCGACTCCTGAGGCACGTTCAAAAATGGAAGCATTCACTTTTGGTTTTTCAGTGTTCGAAAAACCAAAACGTTCGGCTTCTGAAGCATTTGACAACCAAGGCACCGCTGTATGTGATTGCAAAATACAGTGGTACCTCTGGTTAAGAACTTAATTCATTCCGGAGGTCCGTTCTTAACCTGAAACTGTTCCTAACCTGAGGTACCACTTTAGCTAGTGGGGCCTCCCGCTGCCGCCGCACAATTTCTGTTCTCATCCTGAAGCAAAGTTCTTAACCTGAGGTACTATTTCTGGGTTAGTGGAGTCTGTAAGCTGAAGTGTCTGCAACCTGAAGCCACTGTAACCAGAGGTACCACTGTAACATACAATTTGGTTTTTGTGCATGTGTGTGTGATATACATGGGTGAATGGATAGTAAAGGTAAAGGGACCCCTGACCATTAGGTCCAGTCGTGACCGACTCTGGGGTTGCGGCACTCATCTCGCTTTAGTGGCCGAGGGAGTCGGCATACAGCTTCTGGGTCATGTGGCCAGCATGACTAAGCCACTTCTGGCGAACCAGAGCAGCGCACGGAAACGCCGTTTACCTTCCCGCCGGAGCGGTACCTATTTATCTACTTGCACTTTGATGTGCTTTCGAACTGCTAGGTTGGCAGGAGCAGGGACTGAGCAACGGGAGCTCACCCCGTCACGGAGATTCGAACCGCCAACCTTCTGATCGGCAAGTCCTAGGGTCTGTGGTTTAATCCACAGCGCCACCCGCGTCCGGGTGAATGGATATCGAACGATAATTGCACAAATGCCATGGGGAAGGCTGTGGCTCAGTAGCAGAGCCCTTGCTTGGCATGCAGAAGGTCCAGAGTTCAACTTTTGGCATCTCCAAGAAGGGCTGCGGAAAGTCACCTTGCCCTAAACTTTGTGGGTATAAAAGACAGCTTTCTGTGTTCCTACGTTATGTTTGGGCAGTTTATTTTAATTGAATTTGCAATGCCTGAAAGAAGAAGTGCCAATCTGTACTCGGACGGGTAAGAACGAAACCAAGGTGAAAGCTGGCATCGTTCGGACGCTGTACCAATCTGAGCTCTCTTCGCTTAGCGCTGTTGCAGAATTGTGAAGCGGGCACAGTTCCTAGCTTATGAGAGCAACCCTACGGCAAGGATGTGTGCGGCTAGGAGCCAGCTGAGCTGGAAGGATCCTGGTGCGTTCAGGCTACGGTGGTGTAACTCTCCATCCTTCATGGTTCAAGCAGAGATACCTCCAGCAGATCTTATGCCAGTATAAGTCCTGGAAAGGGGGAGCTCTGGGGGGTATGAAATGACTAGAGAGGGAGGACTTAGACTGGGTCCTAGTAACCCTTGACCTGGTGACATTGTGGCAGTGGCCCTAAGGGCCACAATAAATGTGACAATGTGTACCCCTGTAATGTGTACCCATGAGCCAACAGTGTGACACAGCAGCTAAAAAAGCCAATGCAATTCTGGGCTGTATCAATAGGAGTATAGCATCTAGATCAAGGGAAGTAATAGTGCCACTGTATTCTGCTCTGGTCAGACCTCACCTGGAGTACTGTGTCCAGTTCTGGGCACCACAGTTCAAGAAGGACACTGACAAACTGGAACGTGTCCAGAGGAGGGCAACCAAAATGGTCAAAGGCCTGGAAACGATGCCTTATGAGGAACGGCTAAGGGAGCTGGGCATGTTTAGCCTGGAGGAGGTTAAGGGGTGATATGATAGCCATGTTCAAAGATATAAAAGGATGTCACATAGAGGAGGGAGAAAGGTTGTTTTCTGCTGCTCCAGAGAAGCGGACACGGAGCAATGGATCCAAACTACAAGAAAGAAGATTCCACCTAAACATTAGGAAGAACTTCCTGACAGTAAGAGCTGTTCGACAGTGGAATTTGCTGCCAAGGAGTGTGGTGGAGTCTCCTTCTTTGGAGGTCTTTAAGCAGAGGCTTGACAACCATATGTCAGGAGTGCTCTGATGGTGTTTCCTGCTTGGCAGGGGGTTGGACTCGATGGCCCTTGTGGTCTCTTCCAACTCTATGATTCTATGGTTCTATGAAATCCTTGAGTGTGCTTCTAATAGAAAAGTAGCCTTTCACAAGGCAGATGAGTTTATGGAGTTTATGGAGCTGGCTGACCTCACCGGGAGAATCCGCGACCAGAAGGAAGAGGAACACCAAGAAGACTGGAATAAATTCAAAGAATATTTGAATAAATATTGTAATATTAAAGATATGTAACCACTTGAAAGAAACAATTAGGCCTAGGACTAAATTAGGATTAAGTATTTAAATAAGAAAAAGTATGATAAGAAAAGTTAGAAAATATGATTATGACTATGATATGGTTTTATGAAATAATGATATTGGAAACTGCTATATATAATTACTAAGAAATTCAGATGGAAGAGATTAGAGGAAGTCAAGTAATATGTTGATGAAGATGGGTTTTAATTAATTAATTAAGTCTTAATTTACGTGGTGGTTGGATGTATTTTATGTTTTATATTCTTTCTTCCTTTTTTTCTTTTCCTTTTTTCCCTTTTATTATTGTTCATTCTCTCTTTTGTTATGTTTTCGTATGAAAATAATAAATATTATTGTGGAAAAAAGAAAAGAAAAGTAGCCTGTCACTTTATGAAACTGGTGATTTTGCAAGTTGCTGCCCCCCCCCCAATTGGGGCAGAAATACGGCTAATATGTGAATCACAAAGATACAGCTCAAAGATAGAACAGGGCTCAGCAAGGTTTATCTTCCCTGGGCCAGATCGGTCCCACGGAGATCCCTCCATGGGCCGGATCGTGTGTGCGCATGAGCGTGCGCCCCCACGATTTTTGGCGTCTGCACATGTACAGATGTGTTTTTCGGTGTCTGTGTTTGTGCAGACGCGATTTTCGGCACCGCGGAAGCGAGTCGCTGTGCCGTGCTGTGCTGATTTAGCGCAGCATGAGAGCAGGCAACTCAGTTCGGGGGCGCCGAAAATCACATCTGCGCATGCGCAGCCGCCAAAAATCGTGGCTGCACATGCTCACGCAAGCACACAATCCATGGGCCTTCGGTTGCTGACCCCTGAGCTAGAACGTAAGTTGCTACATGGTGCAAATGGCTTCACGTAACACAGTTTCCCAACATGCACACTAACACAATGTAACAGAACACAGTGGGAATCAGAACTTAATCAGCAGAAATTGCCAGTGCTTATTGCGCATGTGTATTAACCATGAAATGAGGTAATGATGTGTATGATTGGTGGAAATTGAAATGCTTTGTTTGCAATTTTATAAATACCACTAGCTGGACTACCAGGAGGGGTTGCAGTTTTGCGGAACGATCCGACTGTAACCTATTGCTTTGCAATAAACAATGTTGGATTCCTAACTCCTCTCGTTTCTGAGTTTTGTTGGCATAAACTCAGGAGATAAGCCATTTTCTGGCTTACAACAACATGCCAGTTAAGCTGGCAAAAAGGACCATTGTGATAGGAATTTTATGGTCTTAGATATATGGTAATGTTCATAAGTGTACCAACCAAGCACGTACATAGATCAGCACAGGAAGGCCAACCTGGAACCATTTTGATTCCCAAACTGACCAAATGCTTTCTCTGCAAGGTCAAAGGAAAATGGAAAAGCCTCCCCATTCTCTTTTCCTTCACAAATCCTGTCTTAAGGGTATGTCTGTGTTTGAATAAGGTGTGAGCCTGTGACATGGCCCAGGAACTAAGTATTTATCATTACAAAAGAATGGCCAGGCTCCCCAGGCAATCCAATCAAGTAACCTGTCAGACAGGAGATAAACAAGGACAGGAGAAAAACAACATTCAAAATTTCTGTTTTAGACCGCCTTTTTTGTGATGTAGGTGTGATGTAACTGAGGGGTGGTCTTAGGTTACACCCCTTCTGTGATGTATGTATGATGTTTCTGGGGGTGGTCTTGATCTACAGGGTGGCAATTTCAAAAGTCTTTATAAGGCCTTGCGCGCCATTTTTCTGGGTTCCTCCTCTCTCCTGCGGGTGAGGGGAGCACCCTGTTGCAACAGATCAATAAAGATCAAGCTTACTAGCTGCTTTGCTTCTCAATATTCTCTGGTTGGCCTCTGTTATTTTCTCCTACCAATAGGGAACCTATGTAAGGACTCTATATGGGCTCTTGGATACCCCATAAGGGAAGAAGGGCATTTTTTGTTTATAATACCATGCGACTCAAACACTACTTTAAAGGTGTGTTCTCCCTCTGCCAGGCTTAGCTACAGCCCTCCCAATTCGCCGCCATCTGCAAATTGGATGAGCATCCCCTCAGTTCCTTCATCCAAGTTGTTTATGAAGAACAGGATGATGAGGAACCATTCGTGAGTACTCTTGGGGTTCGGTCAGTCAACCAGCTACAAATCCACCTGACCTCGTTTGGATAAATAAGTAAGTAGAAGGGAATATAAAAAGAATGAGACAAAGAAACTTTGAATTCATGAATAAATCAGGAAAATGGCTGGCATGGCAGATTAAGAAGAGAAAGGAACAGAATACAGTAAACAAAATCATTATCGACGGCACAGAAATAGAAAACCCGAAACAAATTAGAAAAGGATTCTTGGATTTCTACAGACAACTATATAAAAGCAAGGAAAATAATAATATGAGAAAGATAGAAAGATTTTTAAAGGAAAAAGAAGTGCAGAAGATCCCAACGGAGAAAAAAGATTTTTTGAACGCCCCAATTGAAACAGAAGAAATAAAAGAGGTAATAAAGGAATTGAAAAAAGGGAAAGCTCCAGGACCAGATGGATTTACAGCCAGATATTATAAGGAAATGAGAAGCACCCTACCATTGAAAGAAGTCATAAACAACATATTAAAGAACTGTGAAATTCCGGAAACATGGAAAGAAGCCTTTATCACACTTATCCCAAAACAAGATTCAGATTTGACACAGGTTAAAAATTATAGGCCTATTTCGCTGTTGAACATTGACTATAAAATCTTTGCGAGTATACTAGCAAAGAGAATGAAAAAAGTATTGCAAGAATTTATACATAAGGATCAAACGGGCTTTCTTCCTGGCAGACAGATGAAAGATAATATAAGAAACATAATAAATATATTGGAATATCTGAATGTCAGAAATGAAAAACAAGCTATTTTAATCTTTATGGATGCTGAAAAGGCCTTCGATAATATATCATGGAACTTTATGTTAAAAAACCTAGAGTATATGGAAGTGGGTAAGGAATTTTATAATGGGATAAAGGCAATATATACAGAACAGAAAGCGAAGCTAATAGTAAACAACTATACCACAGAAGATATTAAAATAACCAAAGGTACAAGGCAGGGATGCCCACTGTCGCCACTATTATTCATTATGGTGCTGGAAGTTTTGCTAAAATCAGTAAGAAAAATGAAGATATAAAAGGGGTGTCTATAGGGAAAAAGGAATACAAAGTTAAAGCATTCGTGGATGACTTGGTATTGACAGTAGAAGAACCAGTGGAAAGTATTGAAAGAATCTTAGAAGAAATAGAACAATTTGGTCGAGTTGCAGGATTTTATCTCAACAAAAAAAAAGACGAAAATCATGGCTAAAAACAAGAATCATGAACTAATTGAGGAAATACAACAAAGGACAGAGATAGAAGTGGTGAACAAAGTGAAGTTTTTAGGAATATGGTTAACCCCCAAGAACATTGATTTGTTTCAAAACAATTACTTACCTATGTGGAATCAGATAAAAAGGGATTTGGAGGTGTGGGGAAGACTGAAATTGTCCTTTTGGGGGAGAATATCCACGATAAAAATGAGTGTGCTACCAAAGATGTTATTCCTTTTCCAATCATTGCCGATAATTAAGGGGGCATCAATTTTTAAAGAATGGCAAAAAATAATTTCAAGATATATCTGGCAGGGTAAGAAGCCAAGGATTCAGTTTAAGTTATTAACAGATGCAAAGAGAGAGGTGGCTTCGCCCTGCCAGATTTGAAATTATATTATGAAGCATCATGCCTCTGTTGGATAAAGGAATGGATTAAATTAGAGAATGGAGAGCTGTTAGATTTAGAAGGATTTGACAACAGATTTGGTTGGCATGCTTACCTATGGTATGAGAAGAAAAAAATTCACAAAGGTTTTGAAAACCACATCTTCCAAAGATCACTGATAGAGGTGTGGGAGAGGTATAAAAACTTGTTGGAACCTAGACTCCCCCATTGGATTTCACCATTAGAAGTGATGAGTGTGGAAAAAAAATTAACATGAGGGGGAGGTGGATAACATATGGAGAATTGGTAATAAGAGAGGGGGGGAAATGGAAAATGAAAACTTATGAAGAGGTGAAAGAATTTGTTTACGACTGGTTACACTACTTTCAGATTAATGATATGTTTAAAAAAGATTGTAAAATGTGTGGGTAAGAAGGTAAAGAATCAAAATTCCAAGTGGAGGTATTGAATAATGAGTATAAAAACCTGTCTAAAATGTATAAAGTGTTGCTGGAGTGGCATACAAAAGATGAAGAGGTAAAAGTAGTAATGATACACTGGGCAAGAGACTTTGGTTACAATATACAGTATGATGATTGGATGAAATTATGGAATGAAAGGCTAAAATTTACGGCATGTACTGCGTTGAAAGAAAATGTAATGAAAATGTTTTACAGATGGTATATAACGCCAGTTAAACTGGCCAAAATGTATAAAACATGCAATAAGTGTTGGAAATGTAAAGAAAAAGAAGGTACTTTCTATCATATGTGGTGGGAGTGTAAAATGGTGAAAGACTTCTGGGAAATGATATACAATGAATTGAAAAAGATGTTGAAATATACGTTCATTAAAAAACAAGAAGCCTTTCTATTAGGAATGGTAGGAAACGAAATCAATAAGAGAGACTGTAAACTATTTCAATATGCAGTGACTGCTGCAAGGATACTTCTGGCCCAAAGGTGGAAACAGGAAGAAATTCCAACAGTGGAAGAATGGAGAAGCAAATTGATCGAATATGCAGAATTGGACAAATTGACTGGGAAGATTCGATACCAGAAAGACCAAAAGTTTATCGAGGACTGGGGGAAATTTACAGAATATCTGGAAAATGTATGTGATGCACAGACAATGCTTGTTGGTTTTGAAGAGACTCTGTGAAATAGTAAGAAATACTGCAAAAAAGAGAGTAAGAGGAAAAGGAGTGGGGAAAGGCAATATCATGTTCAGAAATGCGTCAATAAATAGAAATTTTTCGAAAGATTGACAGAGAAACTGAGGGAAGTCAAAAATTAAGCATGAGTGTAAAATAATTTGTTGACTGTATAAAACTTGTTTGGAAAATGAATAAAAATTATTTTTTTTAAAAAAAGACAATGACCTCGTTTGACCCCCATTTTGCCAGCTTCCTCTAGAGAATATCATGGTGGGTTTTGTCAAAAGCCTTACTGAAACCAAGACATTACACCAGGTTCTTGCAGGATTTGCCCTGCTTGGGTTCGAACCCTTTGCCAAAGTTCTTACAATTTCACAGGGCGACCGTTCCATCATTGAGAAGGTTGAGACGTCTCCATTCAGCGCTGCGAGGAAGAGAAAGAGGTAGAATTTCATGGCTCTGTAGAGTGGGAGAAAAAGGGAGTCCAAGTTAGAGACCAAACCAGTTGTTTAAGGTAGGGGTTGGAAGAAACGGGTTTTTGAAAGCTGTGATAGGCATCATGAAGAACAAATAGTGGGTATGGATGGGGGAATCGGTCAGTTTCAGTTTCTCATTTCTCCAATCTTAAATTCAGTTCTCCACCCTTTCATATCAATTTGCAAAATTGTTTTTCATATCATTTTCATATCAATTTGCAAAATTGTTTTTGAATATTCCTCATGAAAATTCATCCGGATTTTAGTGAGAACTGAATGCACACATTTCTATACCACTTTGTCTATTATGAGCATCTTTGCAAAGAAACTTCCTCCCAAATAATGCAATTTTTCTATGCTATTTCAGCCACTATATGCATTCTTAAGGTACGCTTTTATGCCTTTTAGCACACATCACTTGGCTGGAGAACTGCACTGCGAAATTCAAAGAATTTCGAATTTCAAAGCCTTGCCATGTTTCCGCATATTGTTTCTGAAAGTGCAAGCTAGGTAGCTTTGCTTTTAAATTTGAGTTACTTTGAGTGTCTCTTCCATTCCTTCTTGTGGCAGAGGATTGGCTAGGATGCCAAATTAATGCCTACTTTGGACCCTATGCTTCTTTGTTTGTTTGTTTTCAAATGTATTTCTTATCAATCAAAAATTAGGTGTAGCGTGAACATTTTTTTTATTCTGATATACGATATACGATATACAATATCTTTATTGTCATTGTTCCATGCAGAACAATGAAATTGAAAAACTACATAAAACATTCAAAAACCCCTAAAAACTCTGAAACCCCATTTTAAAATACACTATACTATAGAGACCCTTTATGCTGCGTTTAGAACCAGAATTGCATTTGCGTAGAAACTGTTTCTCAGGCGGCTAGTCCTGGCCTTTATAACCCTGTACCTTCTTCCAGAAGGCAGAAGCTGAAAGAGATCATTTCCGGGGTGCGCACTATCCTACGCTATCTCTGCCGCTTTCTTGTGGCACCTGGAAGCATAGATTTGATCTAAGGTGGGAAGAGTGCACCCAATTATTCTCTCTGCAGTCTTTACAACCCTGGACAGCATTGTTTTTCTCCTGGCCGTGCAGCTCCCAAACCACACACAGAGACCATAAGTTAATACGCTCTCCACAGTGCAATGGTAACATGCCATCAACAGGTCCTTTGAGAGATTGTTTTTCTGGAGGATTCTCAGAAAATATAACCTCTGCTGTGCTCTCTTCATCAGGTCTTTGCTGTTTTCTCCCCAGGTTAGGTCGTCTGTCAACTCCATTCCCAGAAATCGAAACACCGAGAGCTGTTCCACGCACTTCCCCTCAATAATAAGTGTGCCTCAGAGAAAAAAGTTTGAGAACCACCACTCTAGACCTAGGAATGGGGTCCCCAGTGCTGGACAAGGGGTGGCAGCAATGGTGGAGCCTGGCTATTTAGGGTAAGTTTGGGGCAAGTGTTCTGGCTTAAAAAAAAGAAATACTCTTTTCCTGGTCAGCTGACTTTGCTCTTGGGGAACGGCTGACTTATCAGTCATAGGTTTTATCAGAAGGGATCTGTCAGCATGGGTATTTACTTTAGGTTTTTCTGTGTCTGCTTGAAAATCCCCAAATATCTTTTCAAAAAACCCGAAGAGTGAATGGTATAAACCTCAAAGGATTGGGGGGCGGAGGTTGCTGTAAAATCACTCAGCATAAAGATTGGAGATAGACTTTTACGGGAAGTTGTGATATGACGGAGCCCTTCTTGCTCAAAGTCCTTATACACTCATTATTTTTTCCTGTCTCACTGTCGTATCCAGTAGAACAGGCTTTGTAGGTCCGTCCGTCCCCGTTCAAGATCCTTCAAAACTGTGAGTTAAAATAACTCAGTGTGTCCATGATGTGCAATGGTGATTGTCAGTTTCAATTTCTCTCATTTTCTTATTTTTTCAGTACTCTACATTTACATATCAGTTTGCAAATAATTTTCTTTCTTCTTTTTTATTATTCTTATTGCATTTGTATCCCACCTTTGTCTCCAACGAGCTCAAAGTGGCAAACATGGTTTCCCTCCTACTGATTTAATTCCTGCAACAACTCTGTGAGGTAGGTCGCGAGGAGAGGCAGTGACTGGCCCAAGGTCACCCAGCGAACATCATAGCTGAGAGGGGATTTGAACCCTGTACCTTCTGGGTCATAGTCTGATACTCTAACCACTAGACCACACTGTCTTAACGGCTCAAGAATATTCATCAAAATTTTAGAAGGACCTAACATAGAGTACATATGTTTCAATAATAATAATAATAATAATAATAATAATAATAATAGTAATGATAATTTTTTATTTATATCCCACCCTCCCCAGCCGAAGCTGGCCTCAGAGTGGCTAACAACAATAAAAGTAGCACATCATTCTAAAATCAATTCATTTAAAAATCAATTCAAAATCAAATTAATGGCAGCCATTGGGCTAGAGTTTTGTGAAGATTACAGAAGGAGAGAGGGGGTCAGGCTGTGCCCTGGCCAAAGGCCTGGTGGAACAGCTCTGTCTTGGAGGCCCTGCAGAAAGATGTCAAGTCCCGCAGGGCCCTAGTCTCTTGTGACAGAGCGTTCCACCAGATCGGGGCCACGGCCGAAAAAGCCCTGGCTCTGGTTGAGGCCAGCCTAACCTCCCTGTGGCCCGGGACCTCCAAGGTGTTTTATTTCAAGACTGTAAGGTCCTCCGTGGGACATACCAGGAGAGGCGGTCCCGTAGGTACGAGGGTCCTAGGCCGTATAGGGCTTTAAAGGTTAAAACCAGCAGCTTAAACCTGATCCTGTACTCCACCGGGAGCCAGTGCAGCTGGTATAGCATTGGGTGAATGTGATCCCGCGGCAAGGAACCCGTAAGGAGCTTCGCCGCGGCATTCTGCACCCGCTGGAGTTTCTGGGTCAGTCTCAAGGGCAGCCCCACATAGAGTGACTATGCAATTCTGCCTTGGAATCCCTATATTTGCAAAGCAACCTTCCTGAACCCATTGCGTTTTTGTACGCTGCTTCCGCCAACATATGCACCTGAATGTGCATTTTACCCTAGCAAATGCATTTTGGTACGCATGACTTGGCTGGAGCGCTGCATTGCAAAATTTGGAGAAGTGCAAATTTCAAAGGATAGCTTTTGTTCTCGGACTGTTTCAGGAAGTGAATATGAGGTAAGTTTGCCTTTAAATGTGAACTGAACTGAATCCCACCCCCCCAATCCCTAGTGGTGACTTTTAATTAAAAATAACAATAAGAAAGCCTTATGCGGATCAGTTGAGGGAGTTGGAAGTGTTTAGCCTGGAAAAGAAGAGGCTGAGAAGAGATTTGATAGCCGTCTTCAAATGTCTCAAGGGCCGTCACACGGAAAATGGAGCAAACTTGTTTTCTCCTGCTCTGGAGGGCAGGTTCTGAACGAGAGGATGAACTTTCCTAATGTATGAACTGTTTGACAGGGGAACAGATTCCCTCAGGAGGTGATGGGCTTTCTTTCCTTGGAGATTTCTAAGCAGAGGTTGGATAGCCATCTGTCATGGATGCTTTTGCTGAGATTCCTGCATTACAGGGAAGGAGGTTGGAGGATGGATGGTGGCTAACAGATTGAGGTTGAATCCTGACAAGACAGAAGTACTGTTTTAGGGGACAGGAGGTGGGCAGGTGTGGGGGACTCCCTGGTCCTGAATGGGGTAACCGTGCCCCTGAAGGACCAGGTGTGCAGCCTGTGAGTCATTCTGGACTCACAGCTATCCATGGAGGTGCAGGTCAATTCTGTGTCCGGGGCAGCTGTTTATCAGCTCCATCTGGTACGCAGGCTGAGACCCTCTCTGCCCGCAGACTGTCTCGCCAGAGTGGTGCATGCTCTAGTTATCTCTCGCTTGGACTACTGCAATGCGCTCTACATGGGGCTACCTTTGAAGGTGACCCGGAAACTACAACTAATCCAGAATGCGGCAGCTAGACTGGTGACTGGGAGCGGCCGCCGAGACCACATAACACTGGTCTTGAAAAACCTACACTGGCTCCCAGTACATTTCCGAGCACAATTCAAAGTGTTGGTGCTGACCTTCAAAGCCCTAAACGGCCTCATCCCAGTAGACCTGAAGAAGCGTCTCCACCTCCATCGTTCTGCCCGGACACTGAGGTCCAGCGCCGAGGGCCTTCTGGCGGTTCCCTCTCTGCGAGAAGTGAGGTTACAGGGGACCAGGAAGAGGGCCTTCTTGGTAGTGGCGCCCTCACTGTGGAACGCGCTTCCACCAGATGCCAAAGAGAAAAATAACTACCAAACTTTTAGAAGACATCTAAAGGCAGCTCTGTTTAGGGAAGCTTTTAATGTTTAATAGGTTATTGTATTTTAGTGTTTTGTTGGAAGCCTTCCAGAGTGGCTGGGGGGACACAGCCAGATGGGAGGGGTATAAATAATAAATTATCATTATTATTATATAATTTTATGATTCTGTGCTGGCCTGGTTGCAGCCAGTTCCTGAATGGGAGACCTAAGTAGCCTTCATCTACCGCCTTGAGTGGTCCCAGGTCCAATTTATGGTATCTTCAGGTAAGTCTAGGAGAGACCTTTGCCTAAACCCCCGGAAAGTTGCAACCATTCTGTGACAGATAAAAACACTGAGCCGGATTGGGCAACTGCCAGACTCAGTAGAAGACAGCTTCTTCCTATGTTCCTCTGCAATAAATAAAATAAGCCATGCACCAGCTTGAGGTCGTAAATGTGTCAAACAGTCGCGTTGCAAGTGCTGTTGCCTGGAGGACAGCAAAGACCACATTTACCAGCCATACTCCAAACAGGAAATAGCTGTGGTAGCCCACAGAACAACAGCAAATGGGACACTTCGGTCAAGAATCAGCCCAAGAGGGAGGCCACCTAGGGGTGACATGAAGAAACCAAGTGATGCAACAATCCACTATTTCATGGGGTGACCCCCATCTTCCTATGAGGAATGGTTCCTCCCACTGACCCTTCTGCCCATCTTCCCAGAGCCATTCATAGAATCAGGGTTCCTCAACTCCAACTCTCTGCGTTGCAGGAATCTCAGCTAAAGCATCCGTTCCTTGAGGGCTTCATCAAATGCCTTGTTTACAGTGCAACTCCATACTTGTCAGGTAAAGGTACCCCTGACCATTAGGTCCAGTCGTGGCCGACTCTGGGGTTGCGGCGCTCATCGTGCTTTATTGGCCGAGGGAGCCGGTGTACAGCTTCCGGGTCATGTGGCCAGCATGACTAAGCCACTTCTGGCGAACCAGAGTGGCTCACGGAAACGCCATTTACCTTCCCGCCAGAGCGGTACCTATTTATCTACTTGCACTTTGACGTGCTTTCGAACTGCTAGGTTGGCAGGAGCAGGGACTGAGCAACAGGAGTTCACTCCATCGCAGGGATTCGAACCGCTGACCTTCTGATCAGCAAGTCCTAGGCTCTGTGGTTTAGACCACAGCGCCACCCGCGTCCCATCCATACTTGTCTACTCAGGGGTAAAAAAACACGCAATAACCATAGACTTGAATGGGATTGATTCCATGTCAATCTGTATAGGATTTCAGCCTTCACGAAATATCCGCCTGTGGTTACGTATATTGTGAACGATGAAAGCCAAGTCAGCATCTGAAAGCTCACGTCTTCTTCTCATGTGAGAAGTTTCAGGAGCACACCTGAAGTCCATGAGATGTTTGGAACATAGAATCATAGAAATTGCAGAGTTGGAATGGCAAACACTTCTTTGCAAACACACACACATTGCATTGGTTCATAAGAACATAAGAAGTAAAAGGCGAAAGTTTTATACGATGTGAAGAGAAACCAGAGTGTGGTCATGTAAGGTGATAAAAGCTTTCTGGGAGATGACATATACAGTGGTACCTTGGTTCTCAGACTTAATCCGATCCGGAAGTCCGTTCCAAAACCAAAGCGTTCCAAAACCAAGCCGCGCTTTCCCATAGAAAGTAATGCAAAATGGATTAATCCGTTCCAGACTTTTAAAAACAACCCCGAAAACAGCAATTTGACATGGAATTTACTATCTAACAAGACCATCGATCCATAAAATGAAAGCAATAAACAATGTACTGCAGTCACACAATCAATCAATCAATCAGTAGCTGAACTGGGTTCCACATAGTCACAAAAACAAAACGAAAAGAGCCACAAAAACAAAAACACAAAAGAAATAGCAAAAACAGACAGACCTCAGTGTAGCACTCAAATTGGAAGTGTGGCACTCTGAACAGAAACGTAACACTCAAAACGGAGCAAGTTTGGCTTCTGAAAAACGTTCGCAAACCGGAACACTTACTTCGGGGTTTGCAGTGTTTGGGTTCCAAGTTGTTTGAGTACCAAGGCATTTGAGGACCAAGGTACCACTGTAATTAAGTGGAAAAAAATGTTTTAAATAACTTTTGTTAAAAAACCAGAAGCTTTTCTATTAGGAATTATAGGTACCGACATTCCAAAGGAGCAGAAAAGACTTGTTATGTATGCAACAACAGCCGCACGGATGCTACCAGCCCAGAGATGGAAAGAAGAAAGATTTGCCCAGGTGATCGACGTGATCTTGCAGCGCTATACGATGGCAGGGGAATCTTTCAGGTAACCTGGTCCTGAGTCGTTAATCGCAAGACCTTGAGCATATCTAGGGCTGCCATAAGTCCAGAATTTCCTGGAATTAGCCAGGATTCGTCCTTGAAAAATGGATAGAATATTCACATTTGTGTCCGGGTTTTCACTTCTTGAAATATGGCAACCCTAGCATATCCCAGTAGCTATCTGGCAGCTAGTGATGTTCCTCTAGCACAGACATGATATTTGCCCATCCAAGTTCTCCATTCAGCAACTTGGCTGCAGCATCCGGACCAACCCCAGGGGAAGCCCCACACAGAGCACTTTACAGCAGTCTAATCATGAGGCTGGATGAATCATGGTGTAAAACAGCCATCAGCATGAATAACCCTACCCTTCCCTAAGAGCCGAGCTGAGTCGTCCTAACCATGACATCACCCTTGTTTAGTCCATCCTCCATCACATTTGTTAAAAGCACAGGATGAGACCTGGCTGAGTTGAACAACCCTGATAGTGCAATCTCCTGCATGTTTACTCAGAAGTAGGGATGGGGAAGAAATTCAGTTCGGTTCACCTTTTAGCCTACCTAATTTGTACTTCCCAAAGGAAGCACCACACAAATATCCTTCAAAATTTGCACTTCTCTGAATTTTTCAGCATGGTTCTCCAACCCCCAAAAATTGTGTCCCCCAAAAAGTGTGTGTTAGGGGAAAGAGTCCATGAAAATGAATGTATTGGTGAAAGTAACATACAAAAATGTCATTCCAGGGGGAAGCAGAAATCTTATGTTGTTTTATATCAGGAGAGATGTACGTTAAATTCGCCTGAGAATTTTTGTGAGTTTTTTAAATGTTTCGTTCGCAAACTGATGTAGAAATGTGGAAGGACGGACATTTGACAGATTTGCCCCTCCTTCCTCAAAAGCAAGTCTCTGTGCTTTCAGTGGAGCTTACTCCCAGGTAAATGCATGCATAGGATTGCAGCCCTGACCCTCTTGATTTCAGCGGGCGAGACACCCAATACAGCCCTCAGTGTGTTTACTCCAAAGTCAGTTCCTCTGAGCCAAATTGGACTTTCTTTCTAGGAACTGTGCATGAGAGTGCAGCTTTAAGCCAATGTTCAGCTGCCTCACAGTGGGAAATTAATCAGTTGGCAAACTGCTGCCCTTTGCTTAGCATAGCTGTCAACTTTCCCCTTTTCTTGCGAGGAATCCTATTTGGAATAAGGGAATTTCTCTTTAAAAGGGGGGAAAGTTGACAGCTATGTTGCTTAGACGGTGCCCCAGAGTTTTATTTTATTTTTCCTGCTGTTGAACGAAAAACAGAAAGGGAGCAACAGATGTTTCTCTTACGCCGTGCTGTAAGAGTATCCAGAACAAGTCGGAAAATTCCCAGGAGTTCCTTCCATCGGAGAGACGCCTGTGCCGATTCCCCTTCCCCTTTGATCCTATTCAGAGAAATCCTCTCCCATACTCACCTAGCGTTGTGGCAAAAGTGGCTGCGGTCAAGTCCTCCCTCTCCGTTCTTTGCCAGAGGTGCTCAGCCAGTGAACCGCTGGCGCTCCTGACAGGGGGGGTCTTGCCGTCCTGCGGCATTCAAGCGGACTGAGGCTCTCGGAAAGCCAAGAGGAAAGTTAAGTCACTGGAGGAGGGGTGGGAGAAGAGAGAGAGAGAGTTCACGAATGAAGAAACTCCTCGCAGATCAGCCTGCAGTAGATTGGATTCCTTTGCACTCATCTTCTGAAGCTCCTCCAAAGCATGTGAGCTTCGCTGTAATGATTTCAAAGCATGTGTCTCTCTCTGTGTGTGTGTGCGCTCCTCCAGTGCTCTTTATGTTCCGAATGCTCACATTTTTAAAGCGGCCAGTTTCCTGGAGCGTCTCGCGTGGGTGAGGACTTCTCCTCTCACATTGACACATGCAAACAATCTTAAGAATGCCAGCTGAAATTCCCTCTTTGCAGATGTGCGTCCCGAGCAAAACGTCGCTGCTTGGAGGTCGCAAAGATCGCTCACCTGAGATACAGATGTGCGCGGCTGTGGGTTTCTGGGTCAAGTTGTGTTCATCTTAAAGCGTGGTGAGGGGGGTCAGGGGGTCGGGGAGAAGGAACAGCAGCCCCGCCGTGCAACAGAGCCAGAGCATATGGTCCAAAGGGGGATGTGAATTGGCGATAATTCGTGCCTTCGCCCACGCAGCGTGGAAAGAAAGGGAATCTAACACTGCAACAGTTGTGTTTGGATTTTTTTGGTGTGTGTGTTATTCAAAACTAGCTCCACAAGCGTAACAGTTTAGTCTGTAGTAGCAAAACAAAAAACAAAAAAGGCAGTTCTAAACTGTTTTCATGAGGGATTCGAACACGAAACCATCAGATTCAGATTGCAAGATGAGAGCGGAGTTGGAGGTTTTGTGTAACAAAGGGGCTCTCTGCCCCCAACCCCAACCCCCCGCTCAAAGATCTGGCTTTTTGCATGAAGGGAAGTTTGCAAAAACTCCACTAGATAAGCATCGGATAGCAGTGGCTTGATGCAAGTGATGTTAATCTATGGAACTCTCTGCCACAGGAGGCAATGCTGGCCATCAGCTGGGATGGCTTTAAAAGAGGCTCTGCCCTGCCTCCATACTTACACGCAGCCATGCTTCTGAACGCCAGTTACTGGAAACCACAGAAGGGGGGAGGGCTTTTGTGCCCGGTTCCTGCTTGTGGGTTTCGCGTAGACATCTGGTTGGCCCCTACGAGAACAGGGTGCTGGGCTGGATGGGCCATTGGCCTGATTCAGCAGACTGCTCTTGTGAGATGCTCTACCACTGAGCATGGCCCTCCCGCAATGCGCTAAGGTTTTCTGTTTTTTTTTAACTTTTATTTTTTTACCAACCACCAAAACACAAACAGTGAAACCCCCCTGGTGGCTGATACATTGGGTATACAATATTCAATAATATACTGTATTTTTCGCTCTATAGGGCGCACCAGACCATAGGGCGCACCTAGGTTTTTTGGGGGGGGAAATAAAGAAAAAAAATATATATCCCTGCTCCTCATGTTGCAGGACTCAAAATCCAACCATTCCCTGAAGAACTTAGCTGGGTGGACCAAGGTTCCAACTCTGTATGGCAGCTTTCGATTTTCCTAGCATATTTCTAGGGCAGTGGTCTCCAGCAACTGGTACCCAGAAGCAGGTAAAGGTAAAGGACCCCTGGATGTTTAAGTCCAGTCAAAGGCAACAGCAACCTGGGGTTGGTCCGGATGCTGCAGCCAAGTTGCTGAATGGAGTACTTGGATGGGCAAATATCACACCTATGCTGGAGGAACATCACTGGCTGCCAAATAGCTACTGGGATATGCTATGGCTGCCATATTTCAAGAAGTAAAAACCCGGACACAAATGTGAATATTCTATCCATTAAGTACTTAATTCGTTCTGGAGGTCCATTCTTAACCTGAAACAATTCTTAACCTGAAGCACTACTTTAGCTAATGGGGCCTCCTGCTGCTGTCGTGCCGCCGCTGCATGATTTCTGTTCTCATCCTGAAGCAAAGTTCTTAACCCGAGGTACTCTTTCTGGGTTAGTGGAGTCTGTAACCTGAAGCGTATGTAACCTGAAGCGTATGTAACCTGAGGTGCCACTGTATATGTATGTGTTTTATATGTTAATAAAATAAAATAAAATAAAATAAATAAATAAAGCAAGCGAGCCGATCCTTTGGGCATTGTTTTTGAATGCCTTTTGTGCTGGTATTCCGTTATGCCGACTGTTTTTTTGTAAGCCCAGTCATTTTCTTCTTATTCACTATTCCATTTATATCCCATATTTTCCCCCAAAGGAGATCAATGTAAACAGGGAGATGAGCTTATTGTCACAACGACCCTGTGAGGAAGGCTAGGCTGACCCCCCCCACACAGAGTAGCTGGCCTAAGTGAGCTTCAGAGGCGAACTGAGTCCTAACCCAAGACACAAATTCTTTTTCGTGAACACCACCGATTCATTTCAATGCATGAAGCAACTCTGCAGTTTGTGGAGTTTACCAACCAATGGGGTCCTTACTTTGCATGACCATTTTTTATTTTTTATTGTTTGCAGGGCTTGCAGCTTCGGTCTTCTAAGTCTTCGCTCCGTCTCAGAGTCCTGACCTCTGACCTCTGCCTGGACAATATCCTCTGCCTGACCCTTCAGCTTCTGTTCTTCTGTCCTCCTCAGTGAACTCTGCTGTGGACAGACTCCAAACCATATTCCTGGCACACTTCAGACCGTCACACCTTCCAGTCCAAATCCCTTTTAAAAGCCATGCACCCTGCAATTCTCCCTGTGTTCTTAAGCCAGATGTTTCCTTCTGCAGTCCCAGCAAGAAATCTTTGCACCACAGTCTTGTGGTGAGTGCGAAAGTTCAGATGTACAATTCCCGGCACCTAACAATGGCTCCTCCATTTATTTATGTGCTTATGTGTAAAGATCCAGGTCCTTTGTTTACTGGGAAGATCTATGTTTACTTCGGGACCCAATGTTCTATTTAAATCCAGTTTATTATTCAGAGGAAGTAATAGTTACCCCTCTGTTCTGCCTTGGTGAGGCTCCACCTGCAACTCTGTGTACATTTCTGGGCACCACAATTTAAGAAGGATATTGACAAACTGGAAGGTGTGCAGAAAAGGTCTGGAAGCCAAATCCTATAAATTAACAAGCAATACACTAGTAGCTCTTAAATAGCTTCCTGTGCAGATCAGAGGAATAAAATGTAAGCGACAATCAGGGTTATAGCATTTGCGCTGCAACTTGAAACATTTTATCTCAGGAATTATCCCACTTCAGTGGGGCTTCTTCCTTGGCCAATGGGCATAGGATCGCATCCTCCAATATAATGAAATATTTCGATTGAGGAAAGCCTCCCTGCCGAATCAGCAAGGAGATTATTATTACAGTGGTACCTCTGGTTACGTCCGCTTCATGTTACGTTCTTTCAGGTTACGTCCCGCGGCGACCCGGAAGTACCGGAAAGGGTTACTTCTGGGTTTTGCCGCTCGCGCATGCGCAGACGCGCAAAATGACATCACGCGCATGCGCAGAAGCAGGAAATCACGACCCACACGTGCGCAGACGCACCACTGCGGGTTGCGCTCTTTTCTTTTTCTTTTTCTTCTTTTTTAAAAATAAATTTTATTAGTATTTTCCACGCAGCAACAACACGAAAGATATCAAAAAATAACAATACACAACACACAAAAATCAACATTTGAAAACTAAAGAAAGCAACAACAACAACAAGAACAAAACAAAAAACAAATCCATATCTTACAAGTTAATATTATAAACACTAAAACAACAACAAGACATTTTTTTGGGGGGTGCGCTCTTTTCATGTTGCGAACGGGCCTCCGGAACGGATCCCGTTCGCAACCAGAGGTACCGCTGTATTTATATTTTTTTAAACCAGCCATTTTAATTATTTGCAATACATTTGGCACACACACAACCCCCCCTCCCAAAAAAACCACCCTGCATACGGTAACCTCCTTTTTAGAAGAGGCAATGTGTGTCTCCTAAATTGTGATGTGAGTATCATCAAACACCAATCAAGGGGGTTGTTCTCTTAGGAATTACTTCATGCAGATGGATGGATTCCAATTGATACAATCAATCAGCTCTGGGGTTGTTGTTTTTTAATCTGCTGATGGTCTTAATATGAAGAATTAATGAATACAAATTGATCAGCCAGGGTTTTTTCCCTTCTTCAAATCAAGCGTCCATTACAGTAAAACGAGTCTGGCTGAAAGCGAGCCAATAAATGACCAATTGATGGCTGAATAAATCAGCTGAAATCGAACTCAGATGCAGCTGAGAAAGAAGAAGAGATTGGTTGGCAGTGTATATAATTGGGTGTCTGGATCTGCCCTGACTCAATGAGATATATATATGCCAACTGCAAACGAGCTGATGGCCTGGTCCCCAGCGGATTACGATTCGGCCGAGAGCAGCCCAGTCTCCCAGACTTCGCTGTCCGTATGGCGTTTGCCTTCCAGATGTTTTACAGCTTGGAAAGACGTTTCTCATCCCCGAGAAATGTAAAGAATTTCTAAATAGGATTTTTTTTAAAGGGTTCAGCCTGCGTTACTCAGCAGGCAAAGTTAGCGAGGGATGTGATGGGGGATGAGAAAAGTTGGAGGGGGGCAGAGGGGAGGATCTAAAAAGGAAAAGATTTGGCAGCCGGGCCGTTTCCACCCGTTCGGAAGTCACAAATGTGAGCCTTGTCTACATGTGCTCTGGCGCACAGGCACACACAGATTTAGTGTGGATTTTAATACGCGCTTCATGCCTGCCCCCTAGTGGAAAGAGATGTGCCTTCCTTTGCTATGTTCAGGTAGATGGGTGTTTCCCAAACTTTGGACTACAATTCCCATCGTCCCTGGCCACTGCTAAGGATGATGGGAGTTGTAGTCCAAAAATGGCTGGAGACCCAAATTCACAGGTGATAGTAGTAGTAGTAGTAGTAGTAGTAGTAGTAATATTTTTTTATTTATACCCCGCCCTTCCCGGCCAGGGCTGGGCTCAGGGCGGCTAACACTGAAGATAAATTACAATAAAACATAATAGAAAAAAAGAAAAAAGAAAAAAACAATTAAAGTACGGCCTAAAATACGGCTTAAAATGCAGCCTCATTTTAGTAGTAGCCCATAAATCAAGACCATAAAGGGAGGGAACCTCAGATATTCACCCGAGCCAGCTATCCATGCTGGTCCTACATGGGCCAGCAAAAAAGTCAAGGGAAAATATATATGCCAAATCCCATATAAGGGGTCAGAGTGAGTCTAAGCCAAAGGCCAGGCGGAACAGCTCTGTCTTGCAGCCCTGCAGAAAGATGTCAAATCCTGCAGGGCCCTGGTCTCTTGTGACAGAGCGTTCCACCAAGTCGGGGCCAGTACTGAAAAGGCCCTGGCCCTAGTTGAGACCAATCTAACCTCCTTGAGGCTTGGGACCTCCAAAATGTTGTTATTTATGGACCTTAAGGTCCTCCTCGGGGCATAGCAGGAGAGGTGGTCCCATAGGTACGAGGGTCCTAGTCTGTAAATGGACAGGATGGGCATTTCCTTAGGTTCTTAACGGGAATCTTTTCATTCTCAGTAGCTTCTCCCAGATGCTGAATAGGTCGACGCAGGAGGCAGGACACAAAATCCTTTAAAGATGTCACACGTTGATTGCAAGACGGCAAACCAGTCAGTCAAACGGTGTCAAAGAACGTCAAAAATTGTCAAGTATTTTAACACATTCATTTTATTAGAGCGGGGTGTGAACACACAAAAATACAGGGATATAGGAAGTGGTCTGATCCCAAGCTGATCTGTCTAGCCTGTCTGCTGTTTGCCAAGGTTTCAGGTGGGGATTCCTTGAGACACCAGGAACTGAACCTGGGGCCTTCTGCCAGGTGTTCCACCACTGAGCTATAGGTCTTCCCCAAAGGAAATTTGTCTTCACCTGAGGGCTGGGACCATAGCTCAGGGTTTAGGCTCAGCTTGCAGACGTTCCCAGGTCCAATCCCTGGCATCGCCCATCAGAAGGATCAGGTAGCAGGTGGGCCGCAGGGACTGTGCCAAAGATCCCAGCCGGCCATTGCTTGTCAAAATAGACATGACTGAAGGAGAGTCTCCACCCCCATCGTTCTGCCCGGACGCTGAGGTCCAGCTCCGAGGGCCTTCTGGCGGTTCCCTCACTGCGAGAAGCAAAGCTACAGGGAACCAGGCAGAGGGCCTTCTCGGTGGTGGCGCCCGCCCTGTGGAACGCCCTCCCATCAGATGTCAAAGAGATAAACAACTACCTAACATTTAGAAGACATCTGAAGGCAGCCCTGTTGAGGGAAGTTTTTAATGTGTGACATTTTAATGTATTTTTAATCTTTGTTGGAAGCCGCCCAGAGTGGCTGGGGAAATCCAGCCAGATGGGTGGGGTACAAATAATAATTTATGATGATGATGATGACTGAATTAGATGGGTAATCACCCTGACCTAATGCAAGGCTACTACTGTGTATGTTCAACAGATCAGCACCTGCTATTCTACATGGTTAAATACCTTAGAAAGCTTCTTAAGGCAGACATCAAGCCTTCTATTATCTTTCGTATTTTCCTCTAAATGTGATAGTGCTCTACAAATAATGGCCTGTTATTATGGTTTTCCAGAAATAACGTTTATAGACCTCACGGTCACAGAGATATGTCTGGATCAGACAGGCTGGCAGGGATGATTTCTCCTCCGGCAGCTGCCATAGCGCAGCGCTGCATCCCCCTAAATTGCAGAAATACAGCACTGTGGCACATATTGCACAATTTTGGTTGTCCCTCTTCTTCTCTCTTCCTGATCAAAGCTTTTAGATTCACAGTGCTCAGTCCACCTGGCTGGGAGAAGATGGTGCAGAGTTATGGTAGCTGCATGTTCAAATCTCTCTCTCTCTCTCTCTCTCTCTCCTCCTCCTCCTCCCTAAAAGGACTACAGGCGGAACACAGAGATCTCATTCTCACTGAGGTGCTAAACATGGGCCCGTGGTCTTCCCCTGACAAGTTATTGTTTCTACGTGGAAGGATGTTATGGACTGTTTGGACACAGAGGAATGGTGGGCGGAAGCAGCTGGGGAACCACCAAGGGAAGAAGGCTCAGAGCCAGAAGACCGGGGGTGGGATGACAACAAGATGTCAGAAGGAGAAGAGGGACCAGACTAGGAAGAGGTGTCGGAAGGTGGAGGTGCAACAGTGAAAAGTGAGCAGGGAGAGTCGGTGACAGACAGCAGTCTAGAATCAGAGGCAGAAGGTGAAGTAGGCTAGTGGATGGAGGGAGGCCAAGAGGGAGAGAGGAGTCGGGTTGGTGAAGAAACGAGGGTGTCTCCCTCTCCTGCTACAACAAGCGCCCCTCCCTACTGGTCTCCCAGGACCCACCCAAAGAGGCACAAAGGGGGCGAGGCTGTGATCAAAGGGGGCATGTCTGTTGCGTCCTCCTTGCGCTGCCCTACCAGCATGGGCTGGAAAGCTAGTAATATCCAAGTCAACATGATAACCAAATACAATGATACAATATCAATATACAGTGGTACCTCGGGTTAAGTACTTAATTCGTTCCGGAGGTCCGCTCTTAACCTGAAACTGTTCTTAACCTGAAGCACCTCTTTAGCTAATGGGGCCTCCTGCTGCCGCTGCACGATTTCTGTTCTCATCCTGAAGCAAAGTTCTTAACCCGAGGTACTATTTCTGGGTTAGCGGAGTCTGTAACCTGAAGCGTCTGTAACCTGAAGCGTATGTAACCCGAGGTACCACTGTACACTCTTTATATAATATGAAATATATGAAATCACATAAACAGAAAACTTGTGAATCTCTGAAAGACACAAAATATGCACTCTTAATGGATTCTCTTGAAAACGTAAAACCAAATAAACATAAGTCTTATAAGTCTCTGAAAGTCTTTGAAGACTATGCAAGTCTCTGAAAGAAGCAATGGGTCAGATTCTTATCTGGTGAAAAGCAGGCTGTAATGATTTGCTTATCGCGTCCAACGCTGCCAAAGTAGTTCGCAAACAGACGTTGTGAACAGTGATTCCAGATATACCCACTGTTTCGTGGAATTCTTCTTCAGCACAGCAGAAGGATACAGAAAGGCTTCATAAACCCATCTATATGGTGAATGGAAAAGTATAACAACAATTGCTACGGAGCAGTGGTCATAAAGAGAATCCATTAAGAGTGCATATTTTGTGACTTTCAGAGATTCATAAGTTTTCTGCTTATGTGATTTCATATATTTCATATTATATAAAGAGTGTATATTGATATCGTATCATTGTATTTGGTCATCGTGTTGCCTGGGATATCACTGACTATTGTTTGCAACACAGGGGTTACATGGGCTGGAAAGCTGAGATGAGGAGGAAGCAACTGATTTGCTGCAACGCTTTGCAAGACGTGGGATCGGACCCTGGACCCCTATGCCCCCTATGCGATGCCACTGGAGATGCCATCTAGCTCAAACTCCTGCAATGCCGGAATCACAACTAAAACCGCATCATTTCCCCAGCCCAGGAATCCTAAATATTGCCACGGGGCTAGAATCCTGCACACAGATTTCCATGCTGGTTCCATCCAGACCTTTCTCAGCAGCAAAACCGAAGCAGGCACAGAGGTGGTGGCCCGGATCGTGGCGATCAGCCACGGCTTTAAAAGAAACAGAATTTACCGCATGGTTGTTCGCTATTTCCCTGCAGTTCTTATTTGTCTTCTGTCTCTTCAGGACTGTTTGTGGAGCTTGCTCGTGGACTTTCTCTTGGAATCCCTCAAGGCGGCTTTGATTTCTTGAGTCACCGTGTCCTGCCATGGCTGGCTGTAAAAGATGAGTGGCAAATAGGAGACCACCTTTTGGGGGGGCAATAAGGACTTTGCTGAGCTGAATCTCATTCGCTCCCCATGCCCAGAGCAACCCGCCCTAGTATAAAAACCTGCTTGCACAATCAACAGTCAGAACTTCCTGTCCTGAGATAACAGGAATTTATGTGCTTTGTTTTGGAAGGTTTATGAGCTGTTTCATCCAAGGGTTGCCAACATGGCGCCAATGGCAGGGCCAATGGTGGCCACATACCGCCCTGTAGTAATGAGCTTTCACTCTCTGGGAAAGTACATAGAGCTGAAGGAGGAAGTTGGAAGAACGACGCTCTTCCCTACTTCCTCTTGCAGCTCTATGGGCTTCTCAAGGCTCAGATTCATTCTAAGGGATCTGACTTTTGCCCACATTCCTTGGAAAAGTGAAGTATGTTGTATCCACACATATTTTTGTGGCTCCCTGATCAGGAAGAGAGGGTGTCGCCCACAGTTTTCTCTTTTTGTTAGGCGCTTTGAGGGGTTTTGTTTGCTTGTTTACAATGTATAAATGTTAATAAAAAAAAAATAAATATTTTGCTCATTCCAGGACTACCTTTGAAGGTGGCCCGGAAACTACAACTATTCAAGAATGCAGCAGCTAGACTGGTGACTGGGAGCGGCCGCCAAGACCACATAACACCGGTCTTGAAAGACCTACATTGGCTCCCAGTACGTTTCCAAGCACAATTCAGAGTGTTGGTGCTGACCTTCAAAGCCTTAAACAGCCTTGGCCCAGTAGACCTGAAGGAGCGTCTCCACCCCCATCTTCCAGCCCGGACACTGAGATCCAGCGCCGAAGGCCTTCTGGCGGCTCCTTCATTGCAAGAAGTGAGGTTACAGGGAACTAGGCAGAGGGCCTTCTTGGTAGTGGTGCCCACCCTGTGGAACGCCCTCCCATCAGATGTCAAAGAGATAAACAACTACCAGACTTTTAGAAGACATCTGAAGGCAGCCCTGTTTAGGGAAGTTTTAAATGTTTGATGTTTTATTGTATTTTTAATATTCTGTTTTGAGCCACCCGAAGGTCTGTTCTTAACCTGAAACTGTTCTTAACCTGAGGTACCACTTTAGCTAATGGGGCCTCCTGTTGCCGCCGCGTCGCTGCTGCGCGATTTCTGTTCTCATGCTGAAGCAAAGTTCTTAACCTGAGGTACTATTTCTGGGTTAGAGGAGTCTGTAACCTGAAGCGTATGTAACCTGAAGCGTCTGCAACCTGAAGTGTCAGTAACCTGAGGTACCACTGTGAATTTGTGTGTGTGTGTGTTGTTGTTGTTGTTAAAGCCCACAACTGTACTCACCCTGGTTTCACTTCAGGAGGACGTGGTAACGGTTTGGTGAAGCCCTTCTTTCCTACCAGCCAATAGGTTTCTTCTAACCCTTTGCCCTACAAGCATGGAGAAGGGAGACCATCAAAAACTCACTGGAAAGGTCAGTGCAATTTTGCAAATAATAACCAGAAGTCTTCCGACTGGGAAGTGCAGATCTGTTCGGCCCAGCAAAGTAATTGCACAAACACAACAAATCCTGCATGTGCAACAGAATTTTCCCCAGTCCCCCTGTATACCCGGGAACCCCCAAAATCTGCAGATCTGCCCTGGGGGTTCCCCAACCCTCCAGATCAGATTTGGAGAAGTGCAGGAGGAGGAGGAGGAAGAGGGCACCTTGTGTGGTGCATAAAAGGTAAAGGTAAAGGGACCGCTGACCATTAGGTCCAGTCGTGGCCGACTCTGGGGTTGCGGCGCTCATCTCGCTTTACTGGCCGAGGGAGCCGGCGTACAGCTTCCGGGTCATGTGGACAGCATGACTAAGGCGCTTCTGGTGAACTAGAGCAGCGCACGGAAACTCCGTTTACCTTCCCGCCGGACATATGGCAACCCATGTCAGAAGTGTTGGTTTTTGGAGCGAATTTCCTAAAATGAAATGAACCTTCTGCATTCACAGCAGATGTCCTGTCTGCAACCTGTGGCCATTCTCTATTTTTGATGGTTGGTGTTTGTGCAGATGAACAAAGGAGACTGCCTTCTAATAGAATCAGTCTAGAGCATAGCTGTCAACTTTCAGATTTGAAAATAAGGGATCAGCAGCCTCCCCTGTCCCGGGGACAGTCTACAGGATATCTAACAATCCGGGATAGCAGCGGGAAGCAGCGGGAAACGGCGCTGGAATAAGGGTAAAGGGACCCCTGACCATTCGGTCCAGTTGTGACCGACTCTGGGGTTGCGGTGCTCATCTCGCTTTACTGGCCGAGGGAGCCGGCGTACAGCTTCCGGGTCATGTAGCCAGCATGACTAAGCCACTTCTGGCAAACCAGAGCAGCGCACGGAAACGCCGTTTACCTTCCCACCGAAGTGGTACCTATTTATCTACTTGCACTTGGACGTGCTTTCGAACTGCTAGGTTGGCAGGAGCAGGGACCGAGCAATGGGAGCTCACCCAGTCGCGGGGATTCAAACCGCCGACCTTCTGATTGGCAAGTCCTAGGCTCTCTGGTTTAACCCACAGCGGGAATTTCCCGCAAAAAAATGGATGGTTAACAGCGATGGTCTAGAGTCAGCCTACACCAGGGGTCAGCAAACTTTTTCAGCAGGGGGCTGGTCCACTGTCCCTCAGACTGTATTTTTTTTGGGGGGGGATGAACAAATTCCTATGCCCCACAAATAACCCAGATGCATTTTAAATAAAAGCACACATTCTACTCAAATTAAAAACACGATGATTCCCGGACTGTCCACGGGCCGGATTTAGAAGGCGATTGGGCCGCATCCGGCCCCTGGGCCTTAGTTTGCCTACCCATGGCCTACACTGACTGGAAGCATCTCTCCAGGGTGTTGGGCAGTGAACATGTGCAGCCCTGCCTGGGGGCTGAACCTGAGACCTTCCGCATGCCAAGCATATGTTCCGTCACTGAGCTTTGGCCCCTCGTTGCTCTATCACTCCCCTGAAAGCAAAAATGTTGTCTTTGGCAAAGCAAGAAGGTTGGCCAGGAGACAAGAGCCTTCCAGACAGTTGTCTCCGTCCAGATCAGATTCCTTACCTTCAGCTCCGTCTTTCCCCTGAATTCTACTTTGTAACCTTCGTTTAGGCTCTTCAGGGTTTTCATGGTGCTTCGGCTGATGTGGATTCTGTACGCTGCCATTTTTATTTTTTTAAAAAAAGGGGGGAAAGGAAGAAAAGTTTCAACTTCAGATCTTTGTCACGTTTCCAAGTGTCAGAGTCTACCTGTCGGGACCAGCCCACCCATCAGCCTCGCTGAGGCAGTCGCCTCGGGCGGCAGTGTCACGGCTAAAATGGCCGCTGTTTCCTTAATGCTTAAAAAGCAGGGTCAGCATGAGTCAGCGGCCTGCACCGGGTTGTATATATAGAGTGAGAAATGTTAGTTTGTTTGTTGGGTTGGTTGGTTGGTTAGTGAAAGCTGGTTGTGTTGATGTGTGTACAGTTGGTCAATCGCTTTTGCACAAAGACTTTTAAGAATAAAAGCAGAAAGTGCTCTGCGAGGATATTCTTGTGGATTCTTTTATGCTGGCAAGGGTCTGAGGACCAGGCTGAGGAGACAAAGGGAGGTCAGAACCTTTTTTTTTTTTTTACAAACACTGACAGGTTATGGGCCCAGTGTTTCTGAGCATGTGCAGAGTACAAAACGACTGACAGCATCTCAGCAGGGAGCTGGGGAGTCCTGGTGGTTTATGGAGCCAGTGGCTGTGCGTTGGAGCAGTTGGTTGCAAGCCGTAATTGTCTGCAGCGACGCTGGAGCGGCTAGGATCTGAGGATCAGGAAAGCACTCAGCGTCGGCTACTGGAAGAGTTTGAACTGCTAGAGGACCACAGTAGGCAATTCACAGAGCGGCTACACCAGTTGCAGAGCCAGGCGGGAGAAAAGCTGGGTGGGGTGGCAGATCTGGAAAGAGAGGGGCGCCCCTCACATGTCTTTGCCGCACCTTCTTTGGCTGAGGAAAGGAACCACCGCCATCTTAGTCTCCCCCTAATGGGGAAGGTTCCTCCACCAACTCAGAAAGAGCCACCTGCCCGGGCAAAGACATACCACATATGAAAAAACCCAATCTTTTTATATGCAACAACAGCTGCCACGGTAGTGACTGCTACTAAATGGAAATCTCAGGACATACCAACCAAGGAAGAGTGGATTTGTAAATAAAGTGCGTATATAGAATTGGCAAACTTAACTTTGATTGTAAGATATCGATCAAATCAATAGTTAAGAATGGAGTGGAAGTATTTCGAAGGTTATACGTCAAAATATTGTTCTAAAAATGACATGTTAGTAGGCTTAGAATAAAAAGTGTAAGCCGTAACAAAACAAAGAAAGTAGGAAAAATCAGAATTTAACAAAAGTAGTTTATTATAGAATGCAAGGGAAGAAAAGGTGGAAAGAAATATAAAGAAGTCGAATTGCTGTGGAGGGAAGTAGAGGGTGGGTGGTGGGTTTTATAATTAAGTGTATAATTATGCAAATGTTGTAATTTAGATATTATATTTTATGTGAGGGAATCATTGGTAATTTTGGTTATTATGTATACACGTTAAGTTTCAATAAAGATCTTTGAAAAAAAAAATTTTAAAGGAAGAGCCACCTGCCCACCAATAATTGTCACCTCCTCCTCTCCTCTGAAGGCCCCTGAGGAGAACACCACTTGCCACTTGGGATGACTAAGGCCGCTGCCACCATGGCTGCTCCTTTCCACCCTCTGTTTTCATACCCCTGAACTGTACCCAAAAAACCGGGACATCCCTTTTTTCACGCGAGATCTTGGCACCCAAAATGGCCGCCGCAGCCTTGGCCCCCCAAAAAGCTTTTTTTCAGGGCCACAATCTTGTATGGGGTAACATGACTGTTATGTACTGAGTTGAATAGGATCCAAAATGCAGCAGTCTGATTGGTCCTAGAACAATAGGATTCAGAATGCAGCAGTCGGATTGGCCCTAGAACAATAGGATCCAGAATGCAGCAGTCTGATTGGTCCTAGAACAATAGGATCCAGAATGCAGCAGTCTGATTGGTCCACAGGAGCCACCCAATCCAGCTCCAAGCGGAAGTGAATCCGCAACCTGATTGGCCTGCAGGAGAATCCCGGAATTAGCCAATCATGTGGGGTCCATTGTATAAATAATATATATAAAGCAGACATTCTGGGGGAACTTCCATTCCTCCTCACCACTATGAGCTGAATAAAGAGCATGAAATCCACTCTCAACTCCGAGTATATTTCAATGACTTGTGCAGGCGTGCTGCCCAGGAAGATGGCGTCCTAGTTTTTATCCGTGACGTGTTAAAGGGTTTGCTTTTCTCTCTCTTCCCTCCTGCTTTCAGCATGCAACTGCTTCCCTGGGCTGCATCCAGTCACCTCAGCTGGTGACGGAGAAGGCAGGGACGCCATCTTGTTTTGCCTCAAGCGGCAAAATGGCTTGGGCCGGCCCTGCCGTTGGTGCCTATTTTCGAAAAGCACCAATAGAGGTGGAGCAGGAATTGGTAGGAACTTCGGAAGCTGCCATTTACTGAGTCAGACCATTGCTCTATCTCTCTCACTGCTGCCTGCACTGACCGGCAGAGGCTCTCTAGGATTTTGGGCGTGGAAACTTTCTCATCACTTCCTGGGGTTGCCAGGGAAGGAATCTGGGGCCTTCTGCAGAAAAGCAGGTGTTCCACCACTGATTTATGTAGGTCTTTCCCCATCCAAGAGAGGCCTAATCTATCTCTGAGGACGTTCCACTGGCAGGAAGAGCTGCTTATTCAATCATTCAGACAGGCCTTTGGCCAACGGGTTGAAATGTGTTTAAAAAATTGGTTTTAACATCGTTTTTATGCATTGGTTTAATCACTTTGTTTCCCCAACTTCCTCCCCAAGGAGCCTAGAATGGCCAACAGCCAGAGAACAATATAATTACAATACAATGAAAATATTCAAAACATTCTAAAGCAGTTAAACTACACACATACCCCCACAGCTAATTATTGCAGCTCACTGGGAACGTTTTTCGATTCTCCCGGAGTGATCTACCTCAATTATACATAAGAACACAAAGAGAGCCTGCAGGATCAGGCCAATGGCCCATCTATACCAAGATAAAAGCACACCAAGAACTTAGGCCAATATAAGTTTCAGTAGTGGGAGTGGTTCCTACTCGCAAATCAATAGTCGATTGTAACAAAAACGAATCCATTCAAAAGGCCTTGCATGAGAACGTTTTCAGTACAGTGGCACCTCGGTTTTCGAACAGTTTAGTTCACAAACAACTTGAAACCCAAATGCTGCAAAACCGGAAGTAGGTGTTCTGGTTTTCAAACTTTTTTTTGGAAGTTGAATGTACTCCGTTTTGAGTCCCCCTGTGTTTCCTGTTGAGCTGCTAATTTGCACCCCCCCATTGTAATTCAAGCCTTCCGTTTCCAAATGCAGTGTTCTGAGGTGATATTTGGAGCTTATATTTGGTGGTTTTGTTTTTGCTATTTATTTTGCGTCTTTTGTTTTGAGGCTTTTTCAGTTAATTTGTTTTTGTGACTGTGTGGATCCCAGTTCAGTTGCTGATTGATTGATTGATTGATTGATTGATTGATTGACTGACTGATTGTGTGACCGCGGGAATGGATAAAAGCCTCCCCCCCCAGCCAAACAATGACTATCATTAGTGCGGGTAAGAAATTATCATCATCATCATCTACAATACTGTTTTATTTATTTTATAGTACAGTACATTGATTATACTTTCATTTTAAGGAGCAACGGTCTCGTTAGATAGTAAAATTCATGCTAAATTGCTGTTTTAGGGGTTGCTTTTAAAAGGTTGGAACGGATTAATCCATTTTGCATTGCTTTCTATGGGAAAGCACACCTTGGCTTTTGAACGCTTTGGTTTTGGAACGGACTTCCAGAAAAAGATTAAGTTTGAGAACCAAGGTATCACTGTGCTTGTTGTCAAGCCAGCATTTGCTAAAAAAAAAACACCCCAAGAAGACTTACGCAACCCGGTGGACTCTATCCGTGAAGCTGTATTCACCGTGTCCCCAAAGAGACAGTAGCGTGGCATAGTGAGACCCACCACCCCAGCAGCACACGGACCTAGAAAACAGAAATGCATTGGGTGAAAGTGGAATGGATATGAGATGCACCAGATATTGAAACACAGGAACCCTTAGTCCATCTAGCTTTCTAATGCCAACACTGACCGGCAGAGGCTCTCCCTGGTTTCAGACATGGGCACTGGTGCCAATTCTATGGGCCGAGGTGTCTTCGGCCCCCTCAAGATCTGTGGGGAGGGTCCCTTCAATGCTGAGGGGGCGGAAGGGGTCAAGCGTGGAGCTGAGAATGGTGTGTTTTCAGCGACTGGCCCCTCCTGAGTGCAAGAGAGGAGGCCACCCCACGCTGGGCTCCCCACTCGGCCTCCTCCCAGCGATGTGACACACATCACGCACATGTCACGCATGCACATCGCACACATGACATCACACCAGCACCAGGTCCCCTCAATCTTGGGTGCAAGTCTTCAGATCTGGACGCGGGTTTTTCCAGCCCTGCCCAGCTACACCAAGGATTGGAACCGGGGCCTTTTGCATGCAAAGCATGGGCTCTAAGACCGAACTAGGTCCATTTCCCCTAAAAATAAAGCAAGAATCCGCAAAGAAAAAGAAGGAACATTTTATCACATGTGGTGGGAATGTAAAAAAGTGAAAAACCTCTGGGAAATGATATATAATGAGATGGAAAAAATGTTGAAATATACATTTATTAAGAAACCATAAACATTTTTACTTGGCATTGCAGGTGATGATATAAGCAGAAAGGATTGTAAGTTATTTTTGTATGCAATGACGGCAGCAAGAATATTATTGGCGCAAAATTGGAAGCAAGAAGAATTACCGACGAAAGAAGAATGGAGGACGAAAATGATGGACTATGCAGAATTAGATAAACTAACAGGAAGAATTCGAAACCTGCGGGACCAGAGATTCTCAGAAGACTGGAGTAAATTTACAGACTACTTGAAAAGTAATTGTGATGAACAGATAATGCTAGTAGGTTTGCAAGAGGTTTTGTAAGGTGAATTATTTGAAATATTGCAAAAAAGATAATGAGGAGAATTGTTAGTTAAAGATAATTAAAGGTAATATGAAATTAAGAAATGCATAATAAGTGATAAGAACGGGAAATCATCAGAGGTGTTGACGGAAGTCCAAAAATTATTGTATAAGATGAGAAGTTTTGTTGTATGAATGATCATTAATATGTTAAAAATGTATATATATATAAAAAGAAAAATAAAGCAAGAATCCATGGTTTGGAATAAAGGGCTGGATAAAAGAGGACTGTTCAAAGTTGCAAACCAGCCTGTGATCTTCAGACAGAGGTTTTCCCCTGCCCTACCTAAAACACCAGGAACCTGGCACATTCTGATCTCCTTGTTTGTTACATTTATAGACCCCCCCCAATACTTTCCCTCCAATTATCATTGTAGCATAATTATAAGATGATTGTTTAATCTTTGATGGTTGGGTAATTTCAGAAGGGGCCGTGGGGGAGAGTGGCTATGAATTTTGTGAAGGCACCCTGCGCTTCTGAATTGTTGTCCCTACTTTGCCGTCTGTCACACGTCAGGTATGTCACCGGTTAAACGTTCTCAGCTGCTAAACACCGCAGCTCTTAAATGCTTAAATGCTCTCCAATGCTCAACAGTGTCACACGCCAAACTGTCAGCTTTCGGATATCAACCCAGATTTCGTGGAACGTCAAATGCAGACACCAGCTGTTCAGAGTGTGTCGCCGTACAAATTTCCACCGCTGGCTGGAAGTCAGACTCAAAACTCTTTACAATTCCTGGCAAAGTCTCAGACCACCCAGCCTCCCCACCTCCTTTTTTCGGGGGGAACTGGAGATCTGATTAACTAATCCTCCAGACGAGCTGTGTTTTTCTGTCTGTTATCTTATCCCTGAGTGACAGCTTCATCCTTTCCAGAGGTAGTCCAGAAAACAGAAAATCCAAGCCATTTGTCAGGGTTCCCTCACCAACCCCATGTTGAGAAATACGGTGCTTATGAACACCCACACGACACACATGGCAGTCTGAAAATTATACTGCCGTTATACATATCTATGGGGTGACCGCACTTGGGACACTGAAGACAATTTTAGGGGTTGGATAGCCATCTGTCATGGGTTGAGATTCCTGCATTGTAGGGGGTTGGACTAGATGTCCCTTCCAACTCTATGATTCTAGGGAAACAGTGATCAAGGGGCTGGATCAACTCCCTTGTGAGGAAAGGTGGCGACATTTAGGGAAGCTTCATATCTTAAAAAGAACTTCATATCTTAAAAAGTCCTTCCTTTTGTCCGTCCTTAACCTTCCAACAGTGAGAGATTTTACTTTCTTGGGCTCCATGATCACTGCAGATGGTGACAGCAGCCACGAAATTAAAAGATGCCTGCTTCTTGGGAGAAAAGCAATGACAAACCTAGACAGCATCTTAAAAAGCAGAGACATCACCTTGCCAACAAAGGTCCGTAGAGTTAAAGCTATGGTTTTCCCAGTAGTGATGTATGGAAGTGAGAGCTGGACCATAAAGAAGGCTGATCGCTGAAGAATGGATGCTTTTGAATTCTGGTGCTGGAGGAGACTCTTGAGAGTCCCATGGACTGCAAGAAGATCAAACCTCTCCATTCCTAAGGAAACCAGCCCTGAGTGCTCACTGGAAGGACAGATCCTGAAGCTGAGGCTCCGATACTTTGGCCACCTCATGAGAAGAGAAGACTCCCTGGAAAAGACCCTGATGTTGGGAAAGATGGAGGGCACAAGGAGAAGGGGACGACAGAGGACGAGATGGTTGGACAGTGTTCTCGAAGCTACCAGCATGAGTTTGACCAACTGCGGGAGGCAGTGGAAGACAGAAGTGCCTGGCGTGCTCTGGTCCAGGGGGTCACAAAGAGTCAGACACTACAAAACGACTCAACAGCAACAAACTTCCAACATTCACCTTCACTGGAGTTCTAGTGTTATGAGAGAGGAAGGAAAATTTTCTCTAATACACTTTCACTATGGCACGTAAACTTTTAAACAAGCCATCAACCCCTGCCCAACCCCTTGGTGCAAGAGTCTTCTCCCTTGTCCAGACAGCCTCCATCAGGCGACTCTTGAGAGCAACAGGTTTCCAAGATGCAGCTCGGATGTCTAATTAGGTCAGATTTCTCCTCCACAGACTCGTCCTTGTTGTTTTTCCTTACCCCAACGGCTGCTTGCCAGAAGTGCTGGATAGGCTGATGAGGCACGTTAGCTAATCTTCTGCAATAACCATCGAGGATGCCAGGGGGAACCTACAAACTCAGAGCAGGGCTGGGTGGCTACAGGCCAAAGATTTCAAGGTCTTGACAAACACACACCCATCTGGGCCCCTCTGCTTGGAAAAGAGACTCCTTCTCCTCCTCCTCCTCCTCCTCCTCCTCCTCCTCCTCCTTCCCTTTCTCTTCCTCCCTTCTCCTTCTCCTCCTCCTCTCCCTGTCCCTCTCCCTCTCCTTCTCTGATGGCCTGGGACTCAGACTCGGAACCAGAGGAGACTCAGTCTGCACTGGATCCTCTGCCTCAGGCATCATCTGAACCAAGTCTGGGGCCTGATCCTGAAGAGTCCCAGTCCGCACAGGTTCCCCTGCATCAAACACCAGCTGGGCCGAGTCAGGGGCCTGAGCCTGCCCTGGCTCCAGATGTGGGGATGACCTCGTTGCCTTCAGTTGGGCCATCACTCACAGCTGCTCCACTACTGGTTGGGTCAGGAGAGGCTGAGGCGGCCCCTGGGTCTAGTAACCCACCGACGTCTCCCGAGCTGCAGAGACTGAGGTCTGAGAGAAGGAGAGACCTGAGTACTCGCGGGAGGAGTGCTCGCCTTTGGGCTAAACATGGAAGCAAGTCGCTGGGGGATCAGGGCCGGCCATTACCCCGACAAAGATAAAAGGCTGTCGGACCCCTCCCCAGGTTGCGGGAGCAACGTTGCTGTTTGCTAGAACCTGCCTGAGACCCTGTGCCTGACCTTGCCTGGTTTCCTGCCTTGTGTCCTGCCTTGGCCCTGTCGGACTGACTCCTCACAGAACCCTTGGATTCAGGACCAGACCTGGACCGCGTCGCTCGGATTACCCCCAGGCCCAGCACACCCTCTCCTCCCTTTCTCCTCCCTCTCCCCCTCCCTCCCTCCCTCTCTCTCTCTCTCTCTCTCTCTCTCTATCACACACACACACACACACACACACACACACACACACGACTTTCTCTCTATGTTTAGGTCCAGCCTGAATACTTCTAAGTTAGCTCCTTTCATTGGCGAGATAAAGCAAAATTTCAAAAGAAAAATAAACCGCTTTGAGGGTGTTTTTTAAAAAAAGATACAACAGCAATCAAGCGGTGTAAGAAATTCATGAAATAAATAATAATAAAATAAGTGGCCGCTGTTGCTGGCCCCTCCCCCGCTTCCCTCTGCTGGGAAGACCCTTCCCCATCACCATTGCTGCTGCCGCCCAGCCCTAACCGGGGGTACAATATTTGGCTCCCCCCCCGGGGCAACCTATGCTACACCACTGGTGATAGAGTCATCTTAGATCACATCCTGACTCAGAAGATGACCTTTGGAAAGCTCTCCAGTTCAGTTCCTCAGCATTTCCAGTTCTTATGGAATGTCCAGGAACAGATATGGGAGACAACAGACAGTTGCACTAGAATCAGGGACCGGCAAAGTTTTTCAGCAGGGGGCCGGTCCACTGTCCCTCAGACCTTGTGGGGGGGCCAGACTTTTTTTTTAAAATGAATGAATTCCCACAAATAACCCAGAGATGCATTTTAAATAAAAGGACACATTCTGCAGTGGTACCTCGGGTTAAGAACTTAATTCGTTCTGGAGGTCCGTTCTTAACCTGAAACTGTTCTTAACCTGAGGTACCACTTTAGCTAATGGGGCCTCCTGCTGCCACCGCATGATTTCTGTTCTCATCCTGAAGCAAAGTTCTTAACCCAAGGCACTATTTCTGGGTGAGCAGAGTCTGTAACCTGAAGCGTCTGTAACCTGAAGTGTCTGTAACCCGAGGTACCACTGTACTCAGGTAAGCCATTCCCCCCTGACTCTCCCCTCCCTTCTCCACAGCAGTGGACGAGCCCCGGTGGCTGCCTACCTGTGTCTTGCAAGCGGCAGGGGCTGGCGGTGGCGGCGGGACAATGAGCGGTGTGCGAAAGGGCTCTGGAGAGGGGCCAGCAGCAACAAAGCCCGAAATGAGTCCGCTTACAATGGCGGCCACTCAAGCGCTAACGCTGCTGCTGCTGTCACCAACAAAGCCGAGCACCCTTCCTCTCTGCTCTAGGCAGGGCAGGGAGAAGCCAGGAGGAGGGAGGAGGAGCAGCTGAACACTCGTGCTAGCGCAGCCCCAACGATCAGATCCCCGGAGAATCCTGGACCGTCCGCAGGCCGGATCCAGAAGGAGACTGGGCCAGAGCTGGCCCCCGGGCCTTAGTTTGCCTACCCATGCACTAGGTGGACCAAGAATCTGACTTCCTGTTTTCCCCAAGACTGACACTTCCACATTTTTTCACTACGAGCCCAAGTAAGGCAGAGAGTGGGTTAACAGCATTACCTGAATGCAGCCCCATCCGTACCCTGATGGGCACGTGGGGGAGGTGTTTCGCTCGAAATGACCCCACGGAGCTGAGGATGTCCAGGGACATGTTGGCGATCTCAGAGGCATGTCTGCGGCCGTTGCGTTTCGGAAGCCCTGAAGCCACCATATAGGCGTCGCCGATGGTTTCCACCTGGAAATCAAAGAATATTGCTTTTCCCCAAAGGGCAATTAGAACTGCAGATGGGTTGACTAAGAGCTGAAGGCTAAATGATGCTCACTTCTTGTGCGGGTTGTGGTGGAGCAGTAGGATCTGCGTCAAGCAAGGCTCATAGGCGACCAGGCCAGGTTCAAAGTTCTTGTGATGCTCCACAACTTGGGCCCAGGATACCTGAAGGACCACCGCCCCCCTCAAGCCCTTATTTCCCAGCCTGAACACTCAGATCATCTGGAGAAGTACTGTTGGCTCTTAAGACTCCACCTTCATCTGGAGCCTTCTCTAGAAGGCTCATGTTTCCCTCACACACACATCCTCCTCCAAAGTAGGTGTGCCAAGACCTCACCTTGTAGACGTCATGATGGCCAATGATGGCATCAAACAGAGTGTAAAGGTCATTGAGAAGGTCCACGATCTCGATGGGCTCGCTGAGGGCGGAGATGGTCGTGAAGCCAATGATGTCGCTGAAGTAGATGGTGACCTCGTCAAAATACTCAGGTTCAACGGTGGCCCCGGTTTTCAGCGTTTCCGCCACCGACCTGAAACGACACGAGGATGTCAACCTGAGCGACAGGAAGTGCAGAATCTTCTAAGGCTCAAGACATTGAGATGTCTTGGCAGGCTGTTTATGGATTATTTAATTATTGCATTTATATTCGACCTCCACAACTCTGAATATCAGCGGCTGGGAACTGTAGGAGGGAAGAGCGCTGTTGCGTTCAGTTCTGATTGTAGGATACCCACAGGCATCTGATGAGACCAGGATGCTGACCTAGACAGGCCATTGGCCTGGTCCAGCAGACTCTAATTACCTTCTCATGTTCTCACAAGACCTGGATTCCAGACCCCTCATCATGCTGGCCACCCTCCTCTGGACATGTTTCAGTTTGCCAATGTCCTCCTTCAAATGTGGTGGACTGTGATGGCCTGGGACTCGGGCTCAGACTCGGAACCAGAGGAGTCTCAGGTGTCATCTAAACCAAGTCTGGGGCCTGGTTCTGAAGAGCCCCAGGTTCCCCTGCAACAAGCACCAGCTGGGCCGAGTCAGGGGCCGGAGCCTGCCCTGGCTCCAGATGCGGGGATGACCTCGTTGTCTTCAGCTGGGGCCATCACTTATAGCTGCTCCACTACTGGTTGGGTCAGGGGAGGCTGAGGTGGCCTCTGGTCTAGTAACCCACTGACATCTCCAGAGCTGCAGAGACTGAGATCTGTGAAGGAGAGACCTGGGTACTCGCAGGAGGAGTGCTCGCCTTCAGGCGAGACAGGAAGGTGAGTCGCTGGGGGATCAGGACTGGCTGCTACCCCGACAAAGATAAAAGGCCGTCAGACCCCGCCCCAGGTTGCGGGAGCAACGTTGCTGTTTGCTAGCACCTGCCTGAGACCCTGTGCCTGACCCTGCCTGGTTTCCCTCCTCGTGACCTGCCTTGGCCCTGTCGGACTGACTCCTCACAGAACCCTTGGATTTGGGACTGGACCTGGACCGCATTGCTTGGGTTACCCCCGGGCCCAGCACATGGACAGAGCTGGACAAAATATCCCAGTGTCCGGGACGTGGCTGAATTGAATGCGTGGGAAGAGGCTGACTCTGGAGACGAAGGAATGCCAGTACAGAGGGAGCCAGAGTCTGACTCTGGAGACAAGGGATTGCAGCCACAGACAGAGCAGGAGTGGTTTAGTTCAGGGCCTCCTTCACTGAGAGTTCCCAGACTCAGATAGAGCAGCAGACTCGGAAAGCTTGCAGGCAGAGGGAGGGGAGGAGATAGATGGTATTGAGGGGGTTGCTATGCAACCAGGGAAGAGGCAACATTTGGAGGGATCTTCGTTTAATAGTTGGGGGAGTTCACCCACCTTCTCCCTGAACCAGAAGAGCTGAAAGGGTTAAAATGCAATGGAAGTACAAGAGAGGAAGGACTGGACTTTGGTGCCCTTCGTGCTGCGAAAGGGGCGGAGACTCAGGGTGACCAACTCGTAGCAAAGAGCGGCAGGCTCGGAGCCACACTCTGAATATAAATTGTAAATAAACATGCGATAAGACTCATTAATTCTTATGGGGGCTTGCTTGCCTTCCTGAGATCATTACACCCAGCAGTGGAAGTCGGCTTTAAAATCTCAGCAGACCCCTGTGTGATGTTAAAATCCAGGCACTCCTCACCTTCCATTCTACATTATTGTTACAGCACCCTCTTGGCTCAGTGCCCAGTGCGGACAAACCAGTTGTGCTCCCCTAAAGCCACCTGTGACTCCAGATCTGACTTGACCAGTACAGAAGATACAGAATTCTTCTGATTTTTTTAAAATTAATTTTCCAAAAAGTTTTTTAAACAAACAAACAAAAATCTCAACCTTATTTGAACCAATCTTAGTAACATTGTTAAGTGACTTCCTCGTATCCCCCTGGTTGAATTTCAATGTATATCATGTTAACAGTTTTCCAAAACCAATATTCTTATAAAATTAACTTAATCACTTATCATCTTTCTTTCTTTCAAATTTGGCATTAAACATAATAATTCGTCACATTACATAATTAAATCCTAAGCCTATCTGACAAGAAATACCAACAGTGGAAGATTGGCAGATGAAGATGATGGACTTTTCGGAGCTCGCTGACCTGACTAGAAGTGTCCGTGACCAGAAGGAGGAGGAGTACCAGGAGGAATGGAAGAAATTTAAAGACTATTTATTTAAATATGTTAAGTTAACTTAATTGGAATAGCTTGCAAATATCAGAAGATACAGAATTCTTGGAGGTCATTCCCATTTCACGCAAGGTTGAAGTGACAGAGTTAAAGTGGCAGTGACCAATATTTGTCACTCGCTTCTCTTCCTTCTCCCCAGTCTGCAGCAGCAGGGTGCGATACTCTACCTGATACTTTTTAACATCTTCATGCGCCCCCTTGCCCAGCTTGTCCCGAGTTTTGGGCTGGGCTGCCATCAATATGCTGATGACACCCAACTCTATCTGTTGATGGATGGCCATCCTGACTCGGCCCCAGACACACTGATCAGATGTTTGGAAGCTGTGGCTGGATGGTTATGTGGGAGCTGGTTGAAGTTAAATCCTTCGAAGACAGAGGTCCTCTGGCTGGGTCGGGACAATATGGGATTGAGGGGGCAACTCCCATCTCTTGCGGGGGTGCAATTAGTGCCAGCACCGTCCGTTAAGAGTTTGGGTGTAATCTTCGATACCTCCCTCTCCATGGAGGCGCAGATTGCAGCTATAACAAAGGCGGCATTTTTTCATCTCTGCCAAGCTAAGCAGTTGGCTCCTTACCTCTCTTGCCCTGACCTAGCCACTGTGATCCACGCGACGGTCACCTCCAGACTGGATTATTGTAACTCACTCTACGTGGGGCTGCCCTTGAGACTGACCCAGAAACTCCAGCGGGTGCAGAATGCCACAGCGAGACTCCTTACGGGGTCTTCACTGCGAGATCACATTCACCCGGTGCTATACCAGCTGCACTGGCTCCCGGTGGAGTACAGGATCAGGTTTAAGGTGCTGGTTTTAACCTTTAAAGCCCTATACGGCCTAGGACCCTCGTACCTACGGGACCGCCTCTCCTGGTATGTCCCACGGAGGAACTTACGGTCCTCAAATAAAAACATCCTGAAGGTCCCGGGCCACAGAGAGGTTAGGCTGGCCTCAACTAGAGCCAGGGCTTTTTCGGCGGTGGCTCCGATCTGGTGGAACGCTCTGTCACAAGAGACTAGGGCCCTGTGGGACTTGACATCTTTCCGCAGGGCCTGCAAGACAGAGCTGTTCCACCAGGCTTTTGGTCTGGGCGCAGCCTGACTCCCTCCTTTGGCAATCTTCACAGAACTTTAGCTTAATGGTTGCCATCAATTTGATTTTAATTAATTTTTATAATGAAATGTTTTTAGAATGTTGTACTATTTTATTGTTGTTAGCCGCCCTGAGCCCGGCTTCGGCTGGGGAGGGCGGGATATAAATAAAATTTATTATTATTATTTATTATAGCAGCACTTTTTCCCACTTGGAAGCAGCTTGGGGCAGGGTTATTGCCCTGACATTTCGACTTACAGGGGAAGCATCTGAGTCAGGAGTTTGTCCGTCTTCTGCTTTTCCATCTCCAGCTCCTCTGTCCGCTCTCGGATCAAGTCTTCCAGGTTGCTGGAATACTGCTCCAGCATCTGCAGCATGGAGTCGATGATATTGGTCCGTCTGCCTTTATTGATGGATTTGAACTGGGGTTGGAGAATTAGAACAAGGTTCTTTGGTGCTCAGTTCTCCAGCTGACTCAGGGAGACTAAGCTGATTGGCTAAAGAATAAGTTACGCACAAGTAGGAACAGATGGGTGGAAAGCATAAGGTTTTATCCAGCCAAGTTATACCCAGAGCAGTCCTGTTGAAAATAATGAATCGAAGTTCATCATGCCCATTATTTTATTCATGCATTCATTCTTTATAAAAAATACTGCTATTTGTTAAAAATATCAGCATAGTTTGCAACAACTGCACATACAGTAGTACCTTGGTTCTCGAACTTAATCCATTCCGGAAGTCTGTTTCACTCTTGGAACCATTCGAAAACCAAGATACAGCTTCCAGTTGGCTGCAGGAGCTTCCTGCACTCAAACAGAAGCCACGTCGGACGTCCAGGTTCCGAAAACCATTCGCAAACCGGAACACTTCCCGTATTTTTCGCTCTATAGGACGTACCCGATCATAGGACGCACCTTGTTGTAGAGGGGGAGAACAAGAAAAAAAAATCTCCCCCTCTCTGCTCAGCGCCCCTTCAGCGAAGCAGCAGGAGAAACGGAGCCCCTTCCATTTCTCCTCTCGCTTGGCTGAAGGGGCGCTGCGCAGCTCTCCCTCTCTGCTGAAGCCTGGAGAGTCTTGCTCTTCCGGCTTCAGCAAAAGGAACCTGAAGCCTCCGGAGCGCAGCGGGAACTCGCACTGCACTCTGAAAGCTTCAGGCAGCTATCCCTGAAGCCTGGAGAGTGAAAGGGGTCGGTGCGCACTGACCCTTCTTGCTCTCCAGGCTTCAGCGAAAGCAACGCGAAGCCTCCGAAGCGCAGAGGGAGCGCTCCCTCTGCGCTTCGGAGGCTTCGCGTTGCTATCACTGAAGCCAAGGAGCCTGCATTCGCTCCATAGGACACACACACATTTCCCCTTAATTTTTGGAGGGGAAAAAATGAGTCCTATAGAGCGAAAAATACGGTAATTCCAGGTTTGTGGTGTTCGAGAGCCGATTTGTTCAGCAGCTAAGCCATCCGAGAACCAAGGTATTACTGTAGAACGAAAACCACCCCAAAATATTAAACTCAGAAATCAGCTATTATAGAAAGATGCATTCTTAACTGCATAAGCCTGATGGAATGGGAACAAGGAATGACCTCTTGAAAGATCTCATCAAAGCTTGGCCTTCGATCTGGTCTCTCACTCCAGCACTGTTTCATGAGCTGAATGCATTCCAGTGGGGCATTTTCTGGGGAAACACTTGGGCGATACAACGGCGGAGGCTTCTTCAGTTTGCGGATGATTTCTGGAGCAAGGAGAGGGTTTCACAATGACAGCATGCCCTAACCTGGTGCCCCACCCCTGTCCCTTGGACTACATACTGGGGTTCTCTCACCAAAGAGTATTTGCCCCAAATCTAGATCTTCCTTCTTATATTATTTTTTCCTTCCCACCACCACCTTTGAAGTCATCCCATGTTGTCATAATGATGTCAAGTAATTGACAGGTGGGTGGCTCCGCCCACCTGTCAGAGTCGACCCATGAGTGCTGGGGGCGCAAGGATCTGGTTGACTGGCCTGATCCAGTTCTGTACCCCTACCAATGAGCGCACCGCCTCATGCGAACAAAACAAAACTGCCTCTTTTGGATCAGTATTGTCACTGAAATTCTACTCAACATTGACCCAGAGCAGATTCCAATGTATAGTTAGCAGAATAAAAACTTAAACATGTTGCAGGATTCCCAAAAAGTACAGGTGAAACTCGAAAAATTAGAATAGCGTGGAAAAGTTCGTTGATTTCAGTAATTCAACTTAAAAGGTGAAACTAACATATGAGATCGACTCATGGCATGCAAAGCGAGATATGCTTCTACTTCTCAGAGGTCCAATCTTGCTCTATTTGCAATCCTTGTTTTGCTGATTTCATTGAATATTCTAATTTTCTGAGATGGTTAATTTGGGGTTTTCATCAGCTGTACGTCATGATCATCACAATTATAACAAAGAAAGGCTTAGCATATCTCGCTTTGCATGTCATGAGTCTATCTCATATATGAGTTTCACCTTTGAAGTTGAACTAGTGAAAGAAAGGAACTTTTCCACGATATTCTAATTTTTTGAGTTTCACCTGTAGACCAGAGGCAATTGATATTCCATCCAGCAGAGCTTTACTGCTACTGAAGGCAAATGAGCATAATTGTCACAAATCCAATACATTCAGGATTGGCGCTGTCCATAAGAAATCTAGTTGCAGCAGACTTAACTTAAACTTACAATAACTTATAATAAGTCTAAAACGTAACACTAAGCATACTGTGTACGGAACACCACACCAGAAGGAAAAGAGATAGAAAGAGAAAGAGTGAAACGCAGGCTCCTTCTGGCCCTACTTTTATAAGTCAGCATCACCTTAACAGAAGAGATAAGAGAACCAGTTTAAAGCAGCTGTACTCAGCTTCTCGGAAGGGATAACCCAAACATCAGGAACCTCCTGCTTGTTTCTTTCACAGAGAGAAGCTTCCAGAACCCTCTTGAATTAAGTAGAATAGGAAAGATCTCTACACATCAGATCAATACTTTGTGCACTAAGAAATGCATACTGACAAGTATCTAGCTTAGTCTTCAACACTGGCTCGCCAAATCAAATGAGTGTGTTTGATTCTATTTTGCTGCACACATTCAAATACCGGGGCTGGAGGGGCGGATCGTGCTCACCTTCAGCTGACATTTCAGACATGCAGTATGGGGGCCCCCGAAGAACAACTTCTTGCAGGATAATAGCAAAACTATAGACGTCTCCTTTTATGGTGCCTTTTGGGGACATCGCTGGATTTCTCAATATCTCGGGAGCTGTCCAGAGCAATTCTGGGAGAAAAAAGATCAATTTATCCAGAATCAACTTGATCCCCTCCCCCTCTTTCCTTTTTCCTTTCTCCTTCTGTGATGGAACTCCTATTTGGGGACTTCCCTGGCTTTTTTCTGGCCCATGTAGGACCAGTCTGGATAGTTGGCCTTGGTGAAGATTTGATGTTTTCATCCCCCAAAAGTTTTTGATTTGGGTTTCTACTGAAATGAGGCTGCATTTTAATGTTGCATTTTAATCTTGTTGTTAAGTTGTATTTTAATCAATTGTTTTTATACCTGGTGTTAGCTGCCCTGAGCCCAGTATTGGCTGGGGAAGGCGGGGTATAAATAAAATTTATTATTATTACTATTATTATTATTATTATTATTATTATTATTATGGCTTGCAGGAAGGACCACTGTGTTAGACTGCAAGTAGTGAAGTCTCTTGGCACCATTAGAGACTAAGTCCCTATCTGTACTGAAGAATTTCATTAGGTTTTAACCCCCCCCAAAATGTTTACTGTCATGGCTTCCTTAAAGAATCTGAGGGACTGAGTTCTTTTAGGTGAACTCAGAGCTGTTAACAACACAGAAACAGAAAATTGCCAAGCAACACGACACATTATGGTACTTGAATAAGCAGTTAGATCAGTGGTTCTAAAAAATAATAATTCTCACCACACCCTTTGAGAACCACTGAGTTAGATGAATGAATCAGTAGTCTGATTATTGACTCAGCCTCTCCCAAAGGCCTCCCTAACTAGCCATACAGTGATGGGTCCCTGCAGGCCTCTCTAGGTAGGGAAAGTCAGACTGTCTGTGCCACCACCGAAAAGGCCCTGTTCCTTGTGCTGAACCTCAGCTGACGGGGAGGCCTGACCCCAGAGGTCAAAGAGAGCCTGTGGAAGGGGACCCAGAAGAGAAAGCGATCCTTTAAGGTTCCAGATCCTAAGCCAAATCAGGGCTGGGTGGCAAACCTCAGACCCAGGGGGCAAATGTGGCCCTTCAGACCTCTCCTTCTGGCCCTTGATAGTGTCCTCAGACCATGACTTCTCACCTCAGCCTACATCCATCACCGGCCTTGCTTCACACTCACCTTGAGTGTTTTTGCCTTTACTTCAATATGTCACTGAACTCTGAAAAAATGCCCTTGTTTGCCTGGGTGCAGGACAAAGAGGAGTGTGTTTGTGGAAATCAGCCGATGACATTTATATTCCTTGCTCCACCTACTTGTGCCTCTGGCCCCATCCTTCACTGGTGTGTGGCCCTTGGAAGGCTGCTCAGAAGAGGATGTTGCCCCCAGGCTTAAGAAAAGGTTCTGCGCCCTTGATTTTGAGCTATTAAGGGAGAAATGAACACCTTGAATTGAGCCTGAAAATCAGTGGGTAAGAAGTGCAATGGTGCTGGTCCCATGGACTGCAAGAAGATCAAACCTCTCCATTCTTAAGGAAATCAGCCCTGAGTGCTCACTAGAAGGACAGATCATGAAGCTGAAGCTCCAGTACTTTGGCCACCTCATGAGAAGAGAAGACTCTCTGGAAAAGACCCTGATGTTGGGAAAGATGGAGGGCACAAGGAGAAGGGGATGACAGAGCACGAGATGGTTGGACAGTGTTCTCGAAGCTACCAGCATGAGTTTGACCAAACTGCGGGAGGCAGTGGAAGACAGGAGTGCCTGGCGTGCTTTGGTCCATGGGGTCACGAAGAGTCGGACATGACTAAACGACTAAACAACAACAAGAAGAAGTGCAATGCAATGCGGATAGAACTACTGTAGGGTTATGGATGGGCAGCATCATTTTGCATCAGCTGAGGTTTCTGGACCCTTTCCAAGGTCAAAACCACAAACATACAGAGTATGACAATTACTTCTTACCTTCTGCAGGGGGCTGAACGCCTAAGTCACTCAGTGGCGCCAGGAGCTCGCCGTAGCTGTAGTCGGTGATCTTCAACATAAACCGCCCGTCCACAACGCAGTTGCGAGACTTGAGACGTCCGTGGGGGATCTCCTGGTGGTGCAAATATTTCATTCCCTGAAAAGGAGAGGGATCAAATGCTTCAGTTTGGGCATCTCCAGAGCTGAGGCACATAAACCCCAGTTAAAAACCTGCCCGCTCCAGCATTCTTTGCCAGCGAGATTCAGAGCTCGATGGTGAAAGCTGGTGACTGCAATTTCACTGTGTTTAGCTTGTGGTTTCCATTTTTAGCTGTTTGGGCTAATCTCTCGAGACAGAGCTACCCTCCCTGCCATGGACCGACCTAGCCTCCTTGAAGTTGCCCTGGTGCGATCAAGACAGGACTTTGGGGCAGTTGTCTAGGGGCTCAGTCTTGGCAGCCCATCAGCGATTCCTCCTTGGCCATCTCCCACTGTTGGAGATCAGAGGTATGTGTGCTACAGACCTCTGAGACACCCCCTAAATTAGCCTGCAGTTTATCCGTCCCCACAATGCATAAAGGTAAAGGTAAAGGGACCCCTGACCATTAGGTCCAGACATGGCCGACTCTGGGGTTGCGGCGCTCAGCTTGCTTTATTGGCTGAGGGAGGCGGCATACAGCTTCCGGGTCATGTGGCCAGCATGACTAAGCCGCTTCTGGCGAACCAGAGCAGCACACGGAAACGCCATTTACCTTCCCGCCAGAGCTGTACCTATTTATCTACTTGCACTTTGACGTGCTTTCGAACTGCTAGGTTGGCAGGAGCAGGGACCGAGCAACGGGAGCTCACCCCGTCGCGGGGATTCGAACCGCCGACCTTCTGATTGGCAAGTCCTAGGCTCTGTGGTTTAGACCACAGCATCATCCGTGTCCAGCGACACCCCACGATGCATAGCAGGGTGCTTATTCCATTGACAGAGTTGAAGTGTGATTCAACTAGCACTCATGACCTTTGGATACAAAGGCTTTTATCCAAAATTAGTCATACTTGGAGGGACCCACTGAAATGAGTGGACATGAATAACTTAGATCCATTCATTCCAATGGGCCACAGTTAATTAACCCAGTGCACTAGCGGAAACCAGAGCAAGAATTTCTACTAGTGCATTGGGGCTTTCCCTTCTTCTCTACCCACCTGCGCCCCCTGTGCCTCCCCCAAATCCACGCTGGAGGGGCAGAGGAACCCTCAGAATACTGTGGAAGGAAGGGAAAGGGGGATGGAACAATTACTGAAGCCTGACGTTGGATTCCACTGAAAGCATCTACTAAAAGCAGGACTTAGTTGGATAAAACTCAAAACGTCTTGAGTTGGCTCTGCATAAAGGACCTTTTCAAATCTTCCAAGGATCTGGCCAGAACCCAAGGCTCATTTTCAGAGCTGAGAACAATATGACAGCAAAGATTCTCTCCCTTTGTATGACCCATTGTGTTCAATTTTGCATTTTTGATAGAACAGCCTTTCACCCTTCCTTTTCACCCCCAGAATAAGGAGAGAACTTACTTTAATTAAGTCCATCAGAAGAGATGATTTGAACATCCAGTCCAGCTTTATGTTTGTGTTTTGCAGCAAATCCTCTAGGCTCCCTCTGGAGCAAAACTCCATCACGATGGCAGAGAGACCCCCATCAGATAAAAGGCCTAGAAATGGGTTCACATTTTCATGGCGTACATCCTTCATCTGCGGACACAAGAAGCAAATCGCAAGAGAGATTGGGGATCTCTGACTTTCTTTTCTTTGATACTCAGGTTGTGATGCCCACAATCAAAATAAATGTATCATCATGTCAGATATGAAGACTGAAAGGATGCAGAATGCAGGTTGCTCCACAATTATTCTGCAAAGTTTTAAGGGCACTTCTGGAGTTGCATGCGATATTTATTTTGTTGTTTCTTCCACTTGCTTCCCACCTTCCCATTTCAGAAAATCAGCAATGCATAATGCAACTGAACCAAAACAACACAAAATAGCAATGCAATCATCCGACAGAAAATTGAAAGTTAGTCCCACTGTCTGCTGATGGCAAATGATAAACTTGAGTGGTCACAGCACAGATTAAAGGCTGGCTACCCTCTTTGCTGCTCTCAGTAGACCAGGTCAAGTGGCTGCAGCATGGACCTCCTCTAAGACCCATCTCTATAGCTAATTGTGAATTCAAAGATGGGCTTGGGTAATGTTTTGGAGCTGTTAAATTGGGCAGAGAGATAAAAATAAAGTAAATAAGATGCTGGGTTTGCCCCATTGAAAGTGTTCACTGCAAAATAACCTGCAGCTTCTGAAAATGCCATTGCATCTTAAAAAGCAGAGACATCACCTTGCCAACAAAGATCCTTATAGTTAAAACTATGGTTTTCCCAGTAGTGATGTATGGAAGTGAGAGCAGGACCATAAAGAAGGCTGATCGCCAAAGAATGGATGTTTTTGAATTATGGTGCTGGAGGAGACTCTTGAGAGTCCCATGGACTGCAAGAAGATCAAAACTCTCCATTCTGAAGGAAATCAGCCCTGAGTGCTCACTGGAAGGACAGATCCTGAAGCTGAGGCTCCAAGACTTTGGCCACCTCATGAGAAGAGAAGACTCCCTGGAAAAGACCCTGATGTTGGGAAAGATGGAAGGCACAAGGAGAAGGGACAGCAGAGGACGAGATGGTTGGGCAGTGTTCTCAAAGCTTCCAACATTAGTTTGACCAAACTGCGGGAGGCAGTGGAAGACAGGAGTGCCTGGCATGCTCTGGTCCAGGGGGTCACGAAGAGTTGGACACGACTAAACGACTAAACAACATTATGTGTGGGAGTTCTTATTTCAGTTTATTGGAATGAGATCTTCCTAGCCATTGACTCAGCTGAAGCAATGGAATGTTTATGAACATTCTGCTGTTTTGAGGTGGTTAAAACTCAGTTCCATAAAGTATAGGGATAGAGGGTATGGTGTTCTTTTAGTGGGAAAGCACACACAAGAGGATGAAGGACATGCAGGCTAGCTCCACAACACCACCTTCTGCTGCCCCTGTAGCAGATACTCCTCTTCCCATCCATGCATTGGTTCCATGTGGCAAAGAGCTCAGAGTTTTCCCTTGTGGTTGGGCTAGAGGAGCTCTAAGCATGGATACCAGAATGCACATAGAGGTGTTTTGCACACTGGCTGAATGCACAGACTGGGTGGAAGTGTTTTCACTGTGAGCAGCTGGGGCAGGGTGGGCATAGACATAGTATGCATCCTTATTGGGCATGGGACTAATCCCGTGACCCCTCCTTTTGCATTTTTCTCAAAGCATTGGGGGAAAGTGTTATATGAACCTCCTTGAGAGCAGTCACGAAAGAGACACAGAAAATATGCAGTTCTGTGTATACATGTGAATCACCATAACAATCCCTACCTGGCTTAACAAGCTGGCAGTCCTCTGTCTCAGGTCACTGGTTGCTCCAGATTCCAGCTTCTTCAGCCATACCCAGTCGCCCTGGCCAGAAAAGGTATTAGTAAATGATTAAGAAAGGCCCTTGGCTAATTCTAGAATTGAAACACAGGTATGCACCCTTTTGCAATGTTTACAAAACATCATGTTTCACATTCACACGTTGCAGTTTCCAGATTTCTCAAATTCCAAATGGTTAGGGGCTGATTTGAAAATAGGGGTTGTTGCTTGACAATATATCAGAATCAAAATTGTTTTTCAGATATCGTGGTGGAATGTCTGAAGGAGTGTTCGTTTTGGATCCCTGATTAGCTAGAATCATTGATGAGAAGAAGAAGAAGAAGAAGAAGAAGAAGAAGAGGTATTTGGAACTGATATCCCGCTTTATCACTACCCTGAGGGGTCTCAAAGTGGCTCACAATCTCTTTTCCCTTCCTCCCCCACAACAAACACTCTGTGAGGTGAGTGGGGCTGAGAGACTTCAGAGAAGCGTGACTAGCCCAAGGTCACCCAGCAGCTGCAGGTGGAGGAGCGGGGAAGCGAACCCGGTTCACCAGATTACAAGTCCACCACTCTTAACCACTACACCACACTGGCTCAGCAAATAGCCAATTCACAGAACCATAGAACTGCAGAGTTGGAAGGGACCCCTAGGGTCATCTAGTCCAACCCCCTTGTGATGCAGGAAACTCAACTAAAGCACCCATGACAGATGGCCCTCTGAAACTAAAAAAGTCCCTGCAGAGAAGATCTCCCATCCCTTCTCTTTGCTTCCCTTCACCTAAACTTTGTTTCCCTTCATAATCTCCCCTTCCCCCTAGGATGAGTGTAACCTTTCACTTGCTACCCAGCAACCAGGCAGCGTCTACAAACAGGCTGCAAGTATTCACTGGGAAAGATGTTGTGACCAGTATGTGGTTCCTGATTCTGGGATCACATGATTCCTGCATTTCAGGGGGTTGAACTAGATGACCCTTCCAACCCTACAATTCTACGATTCTATTCCTCACCAGGCATAATTTTATACCCATTGTTCTATGGCCATTTGGAGGGACTAACGCATTTCTAGGGTCATTCTATGCTATTTTAAAAATATGTCTTAACAGCATCACTTTGGGATCCTGATATACCCACCCCCTAAAAATCCAAGAACGGCTAGATTTAATCAGTGTTCCACTACCTTGTATATTGCCACATTGGAGGTTTCGTATGTCACAGTTGTGCTTTTCACCGACAAAGAATGTGTGGCAGATCTCAGGCTTCGAACTTCCAAGTTGCTCTTAGAATCGCTCAGGCTATCCACCGCCAGTCTCTGTGAGTAGGAAACACAGCCAGGGATGAATCAAGGAGCACGTCCTACTGATCTAGGCTGAACATCTCGTTCAGATTCAGCGTTGACACAATGGCAAGTCAGATGGCTAGTCAACGTTTCTCCCACCTCAAAGTGTAATGATTTCCAGTGCAAAAAAGCTAAAAGTTAAAGGACCCCTGGACAGTTAAGTCCAGTCAAAGGCGATTATGGGGTTGCAGCGCTCATCTCGCTTTCAGGCCGAGGGAGCCGGCGTTTGTCCACAGACAGGTTTCTAGGTGATGTGGCCAGCATGACTAAACTGCTTCTGGCACAACGGTACACTGTGATGGAAACCAGAGCGTGCGGAAATGCCGTTTACCTTCCTGCTGCAGTGGTACCTATTTATCTACTTGCACTGGCCTGCTTTCGAAATGCTAGGTTGGCAGGAGCTGGGACAGGGCAACGGGAGCTCACTCCATCGCGGGGATTTGAACCGCTGACCTTCTGATCGGCAAGCCCAAGAGGCTCAGTGGTTTAGCTCCTTCTCATGAGTTATCTTTTCAGCTAAATGTCCACCCACCTACTCCCCCCATGCAAACTGCCCATATGACACCACAATCTACTCAGAATTGTTGGAGAAGCTGTGGGGGGAAAGGACACTTTTTCCACATATGGTGGGACTGCCCCCAGATATCTTGACAATGGCTTATCAAGAAATGACCAAAATACTCAGTTATCCCATTCAAACTTCACCACAGCTTTGTTTACTAAATCTGTGGAACAATCAACTGAAATATTTCAGCTCTCAGGAACTTTTGTCAAGGGTGATGGCAGCTGCCAGAAGTCCAATTGCTCCCAAGTGGAAAATCTTGCAGGATTTGAAATTTTTGCTTTGCTATAAAAATATGTGCAGTTAACACTTAGCTGAAAAGATAACTCATGAGAAGGAGCTCCTGTGACGGTGTAATGAAAAATGGTGGGAGGAAACTCCTCCCCATGAACAGATTTCGCTTAGGTGCAAAGTCAGTGCCAGCTGTTGCATGACTTGGATTGCCTACCATTCTACTGAGTTTGGTGTTGACGAAAGTGAGGTCATCCAGAGTCAGCAGTAACTTCTTAGGCCCTTTGATGACTTGGTGATAGAGGGCGCTGTGCCTGAAAAGGAGCCAGGAAAGCATCGTTATATTTTGTAACTATCTATACAGATCATAGCAAATCACGCCCACTTTACATGGGTCTGCTGGAAAGTGTCTGGTAGGCAGGTGGCCAGTCAAATTATGGAACCCTGGGGGTGAACAGAGTCTATAATTCAGGATAACCACCTTTCAGTTGGGGTTGGGCGGACTTTGAGGTCTTTTTTTGGTGAAAAGCGGTACATAAATACCAGACATAAATAAAGTAAGTAAATAAGTAAGTTTGTAAGTAAGTAAGTATCAGGAGTCCAGGTTCCCCACTTGATAACACAGTAAGTGTAGGTAATTAAAAAGGAAGATTTATTGCAAAAACAAACAGATAGCTATGGACTGCTTCAACCAAGCCTCCAGCATCATTACTCAAGATGACCCTTCTGAAGACTCCTTCCAGAGATGACAGAAGATATTGAACTTATGACCCTTACGTCTCTTGTATTGCTTCCTATCTAACAGCCCTCCCATTTGCCGACTCTTTGGACTGAGTGGATCACCTCCAACCTCTTCCTGTTCTGAGAGGCTGTTCACGCTGTTTTGTGCTTCCTGTGAGCTTTGGCTGTGTTCTAGCTTGCTCTCAGCTACTGCCTTATCAGCTCGCTCGTCAAGGTCAGGAAGAGTCGGAGTCTGCAGCTGCCGGCTCTCCCCTGCCTGACTAACATCTGAGTCTCCCTGTTCCTGGCTGCTTTCTGCAGTTGACTGCAAACCTTTGCTTGGAGCTGGCTCATTCCTGACGTAAGTAAGTAAGTAAGTAAGTAAGTAAGTAAGTAGTAAGTACAACAGCCTGGAGTGCAAAAACTGAGCCTTGCCTGTAGATAAACAGATGGGAAAGCTTCAGTTGCCTAATTAGAGCATGTTGCTCTACTTTAGTTCCACAACAGCATAAGATTGCCCTCCTCCAGATGGCAATAATGGAGAAACATTGGGGAAGCATTGCAGAACAATGATTAAAGTGGAATGATTACACAACAACTAAGGAAGTGCGGACAGCCCAGTACAAATCCATCACAAATGCACTATTATTGTATCAATGATGCAGTATGATTGCTTCTTATGTGGGGGTCCAGGGAAATGTGTATATGCAAACCCTCGGAATTAAACCCCACGAGAATATCCCGGGACAGAATCAGTACACCATCTTCAGATGTCCTGGGATGCTCTCGTGAGATCTCATGGGGCCATCTGAGTTCCTGCAAGATCTTCAATAAACCATTTCCATTCTTTTATAAAAAGTTTGTTATTTTGATTGTATGTTTCACCATTTCTGCATATTCCAGAAGTTTTTGAATCCACTATTCCTGTGCTGGGACTTCTGCTTCTTTCCATTTTGGGGCAAGTAACATTCTTGCCACTGTAGTCGCGTACATGAATAAGTTTCTATACAGTTTAGGTAGTTCTGTCCCTATAATTCCCAAAAGAAAGGCTTCTGGGCTTGTTTGTTTATTTTTACAAAGGTTATTTTAAACATCCTTTTCAATTCATTATAGAATTCCCATGGGAAATTGTATCCCATTCTGGGTAACAGGTAAAAGCTAAAAAGGTAAAGAACCCGTGGACGGTTAAGTCCAGTCAAAGGCGACTACGGGGTTGCACCACTCATCTTGCTTTCAGGTTAAGGGAGCCGGCGTTTGTCCACAGACAGCTTTCCAGGTCATGTGGCCAGCAGGACTAAACCGCTTCTGGCACAATGGGACACCGTGACGGAAACCAGAGCACACGGAAACACCGTTTACCTTCCTGCCACAAAAGGGTCCTGAGTTGAGGGAGCTTTTCCTTCTCTCCTTCCTTCCCTCCCTCCTCTACATGTTTGCCTCCTTCCCATCTTCTCCCTGCCTGTGGCCAGCGCCAGACACTGCTCTGTGGGGCTTTCGGCATGGCGCCTCCTCCTCTGAGGAGACCCGAGAAGACTCCCGAGTCAGCGGAGGGTGGCGGACCTGCTGCTGGCTTCCCCTGCTGGGCGGGCGCTGTGGTGCATGGCGCCACTCAGCCAAACGGAAAAGATAGCTCTGAGTACCTATTTATCTACTCGCGCTGGTGTGCTTTCAAACTGCTAGGTTGGCAGGAGCTGGGACCGAGCAACAGGAGCTCACCCTGTCCCGGGGATTCAAACCGCCGACCTTCTGACCAGCAAGCCCAAGAGGCTCAGTGGGAGTGGCGGGCTCATAGCTACCTCATGTCATTATCTCAATTCATAGATCAAATCCAAAAGCCAGTCACCCAATTACATGACCCAGATCAATTTCGCCTCCACCCGTGGCTGATGAAGATATCTGAGTCATTCACTTGAGCAGGCTATAAGGACCAGAATGAATGAATGTGGAGATGTCAGAAGGTCTTAGGACAGCTTTAGTTATCTTGGTGCAGGTGGAAGGCTGGCGGGTTATCCCTCCCAGGCCCAGACAGAGGGGGGGCCATATGGGCCACTTGGCCCGGGCCTCCGATTCCAAAGGGTGCCTCGGTCAGCATATTCACAATCCTTTTCCCTATGTATTTTTTAAAAGCACTATTGTATATCTATATTTTCCATTTTGTCTTTATATGCAGATACGGTTCAAGCCTTGAAATAAAATCATTTGTCAGCATAATTTTTGTGAAAATCATTTATATACTTACCTATTTATAAGACTTCAGGTACCCCCCAGGGTAAAAAAAATGGGGGTCACATTATCTACCTGGCCCGGGCCTCTGCCTGGCTCTGCAAGGCCCTGATCCCTCCTGTAAATCAGAAGGTGATTTCATGGTTCCCCAGAGAGCATCTGATCTGCATTGTATTGACTCTGGACGCAAGCCTCTTTCTGGCATGCTGGCCGGACCACCCTCACTCTGAACAAGCGCGCACCATTCTTGGGCCAAGAAGCAACAGCTGCAAAAACAGCAACACCTTCTACACACACCCTACATTTCGTAACCATCGCCGGTGGTGGCTGGACAAGGCGGGAGACCGTGATTTCCCAAGCTTCACGCAAAGGCGTATTTATGTACCATGATACTTTACCAAATTTGAGGCACTCGCTGTCAGAGACTGGCTGGAAAACAAGGAGTGGTGGGAGGCACCAGACGTGGAACCCCCCCAAGGGAAACCCCAGAGGAGGAAGGCTCAAGGGAACCCCCAAGGGAATCCCCAGGGTAGGAAGGTGGGGCTTCAAGGAGAGGTCAGAAGTGGAAGATTGAGAAGAGGTGCTAGATGCTGATGGAGAAACAGGGTTTAGTGAGCAGGAAGAGCCTGTGACAGGAAGCAGTTCAGACTCTGACGCTGAAACAGAGGGGGGTCAAGGGACTGCTGGAAAATCCAGGGAACTGCACGGTCCGGGGAAAAACAATGCTGTCCAGGGTTGTAAAGACTGCGGAGAGAATAATTGGGTACACTCTTCCCACCTTGGATCAACTCTATGCTTCCAGGTGCCGTAAGAAAGCGGCAGAGATAGCGCAGGATAGTACGCACCCCGGAAATGATCTCTTTCAGCCCCTGCCTTCTGGAAGAAGGTCCAGGGTTATAAAGACTAGGACTAGCTGCCTGAGAAACAGTTTCTATCCAAATGCGATTTTGGTTTTAAACACGGTGTAAGGTAGTCTCTGTGGGAGTATATTGTATTTTAAAAATGGGGTATCAGAGTTGGCATAGCTGGGATAGCAGGCTTGTTGGTTTTGAATGCCTCATGTAGATTTTTTTTCCAATTTCGTTGTTCTGTATGGGACAATGACAATAAAGATTATCGTATCGCCTCTCTCTCCTGCTGTAACAAGCTCCTACACCCGGGTCTCCAAAAATTTGCAAAGTAATGGGGAGGTCAGAGGTGCGCAGACACAGTTTGAGACTGATTGGGAAACATCCAGGAAAGGAGGAGCCTTAGAAAGGTGGAAGGCAGAGACCTTCAATCCTGGCAACTGCTCCATAGGGGGTGTTGCTGAGACCACTAAGCTGAGTTGTATGTTCCTTGAATGTGGTTGTTTAGTCGTTTAGTCATGTCTGACTCTTCGTGACCCCATGGACCAGAGCACGCCAGGCCCTCCTGTCTTCCACTGCCTCCCGCAGTTTGGTCAAACTCATGCTGGTAGCTTCGAGAACACTGTCCCACCATCTCGTCCTCTGTCGTCCCCTTCTCCTTGCGCCCTCCATCTTTCCCAACTTCAGACTCTTTTCTGGGGAGTCTTCTCTTCTCATGAGGTGGCCAAAGTATTAGAGCTTCAGCTTCAGGATCTGTCCTTCCAGTGAGCACTCAGGCTGATTTCCTTCAGAATGGAGAGGTTTGATCTTCTTGCAGTCCATGGGACTCTCAAGAGTCTCCTCCAGCACCAGAATTCAAAAGCATCCATTCTTTGGCGATCAGCCTTCTTTATGGTCCAGCTCTCACTTCCATACATCACTACTGGGAAAACCATAGCTTTAACTCTACGGACCTTTGTCAGCAAGATGATGTCTCTGCTTTTTAAGATGCTGTCTAGGTTTGTCATTGCTTTTCTCCCAAGAAGCAGGCGTCTTTTAATTTCGTGACTGCTGTTCCTTAAATAAAGAGTTAACTTCATTGACAACAGAGATCTGCTTCCTTTATTACTGACCTGCGACTGACTCCAGCCCTGACACCCCCACCCTCTCTGGGCCCAAATTAGTCCCTCGGAAAAGAGGCTGCCCGACTTCTCTCTGCGTGATCCACTTTCTTCCTTCCAGTCAGCCTAGGAAGGGGAACTTCATCATTCCTCCATCGCGGGTGCAACCAGGTCATTCAATCAACCCCAAAACCGGCTCTCTGTAACTCCCAAGCTATTCATGTTAGGCAGTCATGTTCACTGTATTACTTTTGGCACAGCAGAATTATCCACGCTCAGAGAAGGTTGCCTGTCGCACCCCAGCCTGAGTCTCCCTTCTTGGACTTGCCTCTGTCCCATCTGACTCTGCTGGGGGAATGATTTTGGGGGAATAACTTGGCTGCATCGGAGATGATTTTATCCCTGAAGCACTCGCAATGCACAGGCCCAGCTAAATTATCAGTCCTGGGGGAGTCCTGTTGCACCCCAGCATGAATCACTGCTCAGTCCTCTTCTCCTTCACAAGCATATAATTAAAGCATCCCCCCTCCTTTAAATTGTACTTTTTTGATGGAAACTCTTAGATTCAGTTAATATAAGTACAGTGTCTTTCAAGCAGACGTTAATTGCTCCATCACCACCACCACAAACCACTTTGCAGTTTTTTTTTACAAACCAAGCGGTGTACAGATTTTACAAAACAGATAAATTCTGAAATAAATAAAGCTCATCTCAAACCCCATCCCAAAATAGGTGTTTGCTCTTCACATGGCACCAGCCTCAGAGAGCTTGCCTCGGCATTTCCAGACATTTCCAGTTCTTTGTTAAGCATCAAAGTGTCTCGGATCCTTCGAAGCAAATCATGTAGGTGAAATTGAAAATCCCTTCCCCTGGAGAAACACCCATGGGATTTATGTGGGAAATAGTGGTACTTTGGTTCTCAAACAATGCCTTGGTTCCCAAACGCCGAAAACCCAGAAATAAGTGTTCTGGTTTTCGAACGTTTTTTGGAAGCTGAACGTCCGATGCGGCTGTCAGCTATTGTTCCTGGGGTGCGCCTTGGTTTTCAAACATTTTGCAAGTCAAACAGACTTCTGGAACCGATTAAGCTTGGCGCTTTTATTTCCGCTATTCATTTTGCATTTTTGTTTTTGAGGTTTTCCCCGGTTCATTTGTTTTTGTGACTCTGTGGAACCCTGTTCAGCTACTGACTGATTGTGTGACCGCGGAAATGGATCAAAGCCCCCCATCCAAACGACAACTAGCATCAGTGCAGGTAAGAAGAAAGAATAATTTTACTTTTTATCCTCTACAATACTGTCTTATTCATTTTATAGTACAGTACATTGATTATTGCTTTCGTTTCAGGGATCAGTGGTCTCGTTAGATAGTACAATTCATGCTAAATTGCTGCTGGGGTTGCTTTTAAAAGTCTAGAAAAGGGTTAATCCGTTTTGCATTGCTTTCTATGGGAAAGCGTGCTTGGTTTTGGAACGCATTGGTTTTGGAACAGACTTCTGGAACGGATTAAGTTTGGGAAGCAAAGTACCACCGTCAATCACAGTTTCAATAAACCTGCCAAATTTTATCAGTCGGTGGCCCACACAACCCTGCTCAGATAAACTGATGCAGGTTGTACAATCAAGCTCTGCTGTTGTTATTGCCTATCTCTCATCAGTTCTGGGATGTCTTGTTGGGAATCCAAGTTTGCCCCCCAAAAAACAAACAAACAAATAAATATCCTCTACAACAGCTTCCTCTACCCCATGTCCTCCAGAGACTTTTCTTCAGCTGGGAATGAAGCCTCTTGTGACACCTGAAAGCTCTTTCTTGTACACATCCATCTGGTACGCAGGCTGAGACCCTCCCTGGCCGCAGAGTGTCTTTCCAGAGTGGTGCATGCTCTAGTTATCTCTCGCTTGGACTACTGCAATGCGCTCTATGTGGGGCTACCTTTGAAGGTGACCCAGAAACTACAACTAATCCAGAATGCGGCAGCTAGACTGGTGACTGGGAGCGGCCACCGAGACCACATAACACTGGTCTTGAAAGACCTACATTGGCTCCCAGTACATTTCTGGGCACAATTCAAAGTGTTGGTGCTGACCTTTAAAGCCCTAAACAGCCTCAGTCCAGTATACCTGAAGGAGCGTCTCCACCTCCATCGTTCAGCCCGGACACTGAGGTCCAGCGCTGAGGGCCTTCTGGCAGTTCCCTCACTGCGAGAAGCCAAGTTACAGGGAATCAGGCAGAGGGCCTTCTCGGTAGTGGCGCCCACCCTGTGGAACGCCCTCCCACCAGATATATAAGAGAAAAACAACTACCAGACTTTTAGAAGACATCTGAAGGCAGCCTTGTTTAGGGAAGCTTTTAATGTTTAATAGGTTATTGTATTTTAATATTCTGTTGGAAGCCGCCCACAGTGGCTGGGGAAACCCATCCAGATGGGCGGGGTATAAATAATAAATTATTATTATTATTATTATTATTATTGCCTACCAGGGATCTTCTACAAAAGTAGGGATGCAGATGGATGTCATAGTGCAATTTTGGTCTCAAGCTGTTTTTGGACTACAGATCCTATCATCCCTGACCACTGGTCCTGCTAGCTAGGGATGATGGGAGTTGTAGTCTGAAACAAGCTGGAGACCCACGTTTGGGAAACCCTGCTATAGTCCAACGACATCACCCTGGCCTAGACCATTTTAGGGTCAATGCCAAACGTTGCAAGTGGGCGCTTGCTCACCTTAATGTATTAATGATTCGGTGCTCTTATTTTTCTAAGTGCTAAGCAGGAAATCTGTGAACTCCTGAATTGTCAGAGGATTTTGAACACCTGGCATGTCATAATTGTTCCAAGCGTAACACTTAGTTAGCACAATTTATTTCCCAAGGTCTGCAGTCATTAACCAATTAGACCTCCCAGTAACTCTCCCTTTGTGAGACTGAAGGCTGACTCAGAATAGACAGTTGACAAAACGCGGAGCGGATTCCTGCCTATGGCTGGGTTGGAAGGAGCCGTGCAAGCCAAATGGAGCCTGAATGAACTCTGTGCTAGAGTGGATTGCTAAGTTTGTACCAAGCTGGATGTTCCATGCGAATTTGGATGGCCAGCCAAAGCTGAGAACCTGTTTTGCATCTGTTAAATTATGTAACTTATGTTTTTATATTGTGATTTAATCTTGTGAACCACCCTGAGACCTGTGGCTATAGGGCTATAGACTACTACTACAACAACAACTATTACTTATAATAATAAATGTACAAAGCCCTTGTTATTATTAATCATGCATGTATCTAGGGATGAGGAAGAACTATGCCTAGGACAACTATCCCTCTCACCTCAGGCCACACCCCTCATTGGCTCTGATTCTGTTGTTACATAGGGTTACTGATTCACACTTGCGTGCATGAAAGAGTTAACCTGAGCCCAGAGATCAGGTTGCAGGTGGGTGTGGCTTAGCAGGTTCTCAGCAGGCTCTGCCCCCCAATCTGTCTTTCTCTTGGTGCTTCCTGGAATAAGCAAAGAAGGAGACATGCAGTCAATGGCTCCCAGTTGCAGGAAAAACCAAGTGAATTGAACCTATCCAGAAGAGAGATTGTATAGCCTGCATCTTTGTTAACCCAAAGACTGCAGGTGCTTTTTTGTAAGGAAAACAAGTACTGTACAAAAAGGGGGGGGCACTTGCAACCTTTTTCTTTTCTATTTACTGCCATCGGATGGAGACTTGTTTTTGGTAACTTCTGGAAACTCTGTGAGTAAAGCATTCACTTACTTGCAAAGCTACGTGTCTGTGATTTATTCTAGCCTAAGTATTTTTGTGGGAAACATTTGTTTAAAGATGGATGAGGGCAGATGTAAATCTAACCAGGTTTTAATGTGCTTGGAGCAACTGCCATTGCGCTAACTCTGCTGCAAGAGAGTAAGGATCTCGTTCCCAAATCTTTCTCTCCAACAGCTTTGCACCCTCCACGAATGCTTTGCCTGAGTGAAAGGTATCCCTGAACTCTGGCAATGCCTCTTGCTTGTCTTGATGGAGAATGGAGAAAGCATGTGTAAGTGTGTGTAGAAGTGAGTCAGCTGGGCAAAAGTAATATATATTACCCCACCCACTTTGGCCCCTCCCACCACTGACATGTGGTCCTCAGAAGGTCACAAAGCTTTTGCCTCCTGACCAGTGAGCTAGGCAGAGGCCTTCTTCAAAACTAGAAAGAGACGAAAATGCTCTTACCTGATCAGGTACGCCAGGCACATCCCGAAGAGCAGAAGGGTGAGTGGCGGCAGCAGGATCAATACCACGACTGGAGGCTCCAGACCTAGACAAGTAACAGGGACAAGGGATGGGTCAAGGCAGGGCTACATGAACTGTTTCCATCCCAGGTGGTCATTCTAAAAACTGTGACTTTAAGAAGCTTGCTCTTTACTTTTTCCTCTACCCTCCCCACACCTCTTTCCTCGTGTGCTGTACCTTTTTAGATTTTTTTAGCCCAAGGGCAGGGATTGTCTTACTACAGTGTGGTGTAATGGTTAGAGTGTTGGACTAGGACCTGGGGGACCAGGGTTCAAATCCCCACTCAGTCATGAAGCTGACCTTGGGCCAGTTGCAATCTCTTCGCCTAGACTGCCTCACAGGGTTGCTGTGAGGTTGAAATGGGGAGGAGAACCCTGTACATCATCATCATCATCATCATCATCATCATCATCATCATAAAAAAATAATACCCCGCCCAACAGAATATTAAAATACAATAGTTGGTGGCTTCCAACAGAATATTAAAATACAACAGTGTATTAAACATTAAAAGCTTCCCTAAACAGGGCTGCCTTCAGATGTCTTCTGAAAGTCTGATAGTTGTTTTTCTCTTTGACATCTGGTGGGAGGGTGTTACACAGGGCGGGTGCCACTACTGAGAAGGCCCTCTGCCCGGTTCCCTGTAACCTCACTTCTCGCAGGGAGGGAACCGCCAGAAGGCCCTCGGAGCTGGACCTCAGTGTCCGGGCTGAACGATGGGGGTGGAGACACTCCTTCAGGTATACTGGGCTGAGGCGGCTTAGGGCTTTAAAGGTCAGCATCAACACTTTGAATTGTGCTCGGAAATGTACTGGGAGCCAATGTAGGTCTTTCAAGACTGGTGTTATGTGGTTCCGGCGGCCGCTCCCAGTCACCAGTCTAGCTGCCGCATTCTGGATTAATAGTTTCCAGGTCACCTTCAAAGGTAGCCCTGCAGAGAGCGCATTGCAGTAGTCCAAGCGAGAGATAACTAGAGCATGCACCACTCTGGCGAGACAGTCTGCGGGCAGATAGAGTCTCATCCTGCGTACCAGATGGAGCTGATAAACAGCTGCCCTGGACACAGAATGGACCTGCGCCTCCATGGACAGCTGTGAGTCCAAAATGACTCCCAGGCTGCACACCTGGTCCTTCAGGGGCACAGTTGCCCCATTCAGGACCAGGGAGTCCCCCACACCCACCCGCCTCCTGTCCCCCCAAAACAGGGGGACTCTGTCTTGTCAGGATTCAACCTCAATCCGTTAGCCACCATCCAATGAGCTCCTTGGAAGGTATTGCAAATCACTTTGGGGTATCTCATGGAAGCAATTAACAAATGAATAATAATTGCAAGCATTGCCTACTCTGACTGGCAACATCTCAAGCAGCAGTCTTGCCCAGCGCTTGCCCCCTGGAGATCCTTTTATTGCCAAGGACAAAAGCTCTGCCTGCAGACCCTGCAATCCCTCTCTGGAGGTTTCAGGTGGTAACTTTTGCCCCAACTTTAAAGGTAAAGGGACCCCTGACCATTAGGTCCAGTCGTGACCGACTCTGGGGTTGCACGCTCATCTCTCTCTATAAGCCGAGGGAGCCAGTGTACAGCATCCGGGTCATGTGGCCAGCATGACTAAGCCACTTCTGGCGAACCAGAGCAGCGCACGGAAACGCCGTTTACCTTCCCACCAGAGTGGTACCTATTTATCTACTTGCACTTTGACGTGCTTTCGAACTGCTAGGTTGGCAGGAGCAGGGACCGAACAACGGGAGCTCACCCTGTCACAGGGATTCGAACCGCTGACCTTCTGATCGGCAAGTCCTAGGCTCTGTGGTTTAACCCACAGCGCCACCTGCCTCCCACGCCCCAACTTTAGCTGCAAACAAAATGCCTGAAAGTCATTTGTCCCCTCCCTCCCCCCTCCCCGGGGAAGAACTATGCCCCACTCCCAGTTTCTTGACTGCCACCTTTGTCTTTGGAAACAACTCAGATTATATTAAGTTCTTTTCTTTTCTTGATAGGATAAGCCGAGTATTTCCCAGGCCATTTCTAATTGCCAGAAGCCAGCGTAAATACACAACAGCCGTCAGCAGCGAGGAGATCTACAGCTCAAATACCCCAGATCTGCTTTACAGTGGTACCTCGGGTTACAGACGCTTCAGGTTACAGACGCTTCAGGTTACAGACTCCGCTAACCCAGAAATATTACCTCGGGTTAAGAACGTTGCTTCAGGATGAGAACAGAAATCGTGCTCCGGCGGCACGGCAGCAGTGGGAGGCCCCATTAGCTAAAGTGGTGCTTCAGGTTAAGAACAGTTTCAGGTTAAGAACGGACCTCCGGAACGAATTAAGTGCTTAACCCGAGGTACCACTCTATTGTAAACTTGGGCGAGGCAGAGGGACTCAGGACCTGAAGGCTAAATGTGGCCCCCAGCCCTCTCTATTTGGCCCTCGAGAATCTCACTAGGCTATACAACCCCTGAGCCCTGCTCCGTGCCACCCCTTGGGTGTTTTTGCCTGACTGGAAATGTGTCCAAGATCTGAGATAAAGCCTCTATATTTGTTTCAAATGTTTTTAAATACTGATCTTTAAATGGTTGAAACCGTTGTGACACCTGCTGGGGAAGGCTTGACAATGCATTTAACAACAACAAACAGATAAGTTTGACCTTCCTTGCTCCACCCACTTTTGCCTCTGTCCTAATAATAATAATAATAATAATAATAATAATAATAATTTATTATTTATACCCCGCCCATCTGGCTGGGTTTCCCCAGCCACTCTGGGCGGTTTCCAACAAAACACTAAAATACAATAACCTATTAAACATTAAAAGCTTCCCTAAACAGGTCTGCCTTCAGATGTCTTCTAAAAGTCTGGTAGCTGTTTTTCTCTTTGACATCTGGTGGGAGGGCGTTCCACAGGGCGGGTGCCACCACCGAGAAGGCCCTCTGCCTGATTCCCTGTAACTTGGCTTCTCACAGCGAGGGAACTGCCAGAAGGCCCTCAGCACTGGACCTCAGTGTCCGGGCACCCACCTCTGGCACACGGCCCCCAGAAGATCGTCTTGTTAAGGTAAAAAATTCCAGGGTGAGAGGCTACTCAACAGACCTGCTTGCCGGGCTCTGATAATAAAAACGTATGTATTTTAAAACAGCTGATAAAAGGGAGTAATAAAAAGGCTGCTTATGTATGCCACTACTGCAGCCCATGTTCTGTTAGCCCCCAAATGGAAAGACTAAAGAAGAATGGCAACAGAAACTGATGGAATATGTGCAGCTTTTGGACCTAACACATAGAATAAGAGAACAAGAAGAACACACGTTTAAAGATGATTGGAAAACGTTTGTTGAATATATGGAGGGAAATTGTGTTTATTTGAAAATGTGGGCATCATTAAGATAAATTCAACAGTGTAAATAAGTTTTGATGGATGTAATACAGTGGTACCTCAGGTTACAGATGTTTCAGGTTACAGATTCCGCTAACCCAGAAATAGTACCTCGGGTTAAGAACTTTGCTTCAGGATGAGAATAGAAATCATGTGGCGGTGGCGTGGCCGCAGCAGGAGGCCCCATTAGCTAAAGTGGTGCTTCAGGTTAAGAAAAGTTTCAGGTTAAGAACGGACCTCCGGAACGAATTAAGTTCTTAACCCAAGGTACCACTGTAATGGAATACTGAATGGTTTTAGCTTATGTAAAATATGCAGGGATTTATATTATGCAAAATGAACCACGGAAAGAGAAGAAGGGAAGTCATTGATATTTTAAGGATGTTTAAATGAGTATTCTAAATTGTAAAACAGAAAATTCAATTAAAAATTATAGAGGGGGGGAACGGAGCAATAAAAATAAACATCAGGAAAGGAGGGGTGGGAAGTTATGTGTGTATAAAAATATTATATGGTTTGAAATATCTCCAGAACGTAATAAAAACGATACATGGATTAAGAAGGAGTGTCAACAAAGTGCAAGAATGTTAGATATGGGCGATACGGGCACCACTTACCTCTGATGCAGGGAACATCTGGATCGAACCAACAGCTGGAATCAGCTGGGGGTGGGCTTCCTCCAGGAAAGTGTATTGCCCTTTCCAGGGGTTGTACCAAGCCAGAGGACGCCACCAGCAAGTAGGTGGGGAAGAAATGGCTCCCTCTGCCGTCTGTGTCCAGGACGATATACTGGGCCAGAGGTTTTCCTTTGCTGTCAGCCTCTACCCTGCGGCTGAACCCAGCAAAGTCGAGGTTTCTGACGTGCTGAGTCAACGTTTCCCCCGAGACCTCAGTCGCCCCCTGTTGATGGGCCTTGGCTAAAGCTTTTGCGACCAGGTAAATGGCGTCATAGATGGTGCCGAAGAGTGGAGAGACCTGAAAAAGACAGCAGGTTTTTAGCGCCTACCAAAACCTGAGAAATGATCTGGCTCAGAGGCAAACCAGAGCTGACATTCATCATATCGTTTAGCTGACTTTTGCTTCCACAAATGCCCAGTAAGGGGAGGAGAGAGCAAGCGAAGGATGGGGGAGATATTTTATGAAATAAAGAAATCCAGCTCCCCCACTCTCTTTTCCACCTGACTCCAAATGTTGCCTATTTGGGAAAGAAAAAGGAGCTAAGCCAACGTCTTGGAAATGGCTTCTAGCCATTCTTGGTTAATTATTGGGGAAAGCCAATGCGTTCAAAAATTATGGAAGTACAGAGAATATCTCCTGAATGGTGAGGCTTGCTGACCTCCCAGTAAAGCAAAAATTCGATCTTCTCCTGTTAGGCAAAAACCACAAGATGACCCAGAATGTCACCAGATTCTGCAGGTAGAGAATAGACTCTGTATGGATTTCCAAAGAATTGGAAACAAGAGTCAAAAAACTTGAAATCAATCCCAGAACCTTTTCAGACCATAATTCCCTGACTATGGAATTACAAAAAGAAAGCCAAATCTCTTTTAGATGGAGATTAGATGATGATTTATTAGATGATCACAAATTTGTTGAAAAAGCAGATTCTGCGCACAGATCTGTAGGTGCAGACTATCCCCTGATTCAATCTAGTTTGTTAAGAAAATTCCCAAACCCAGATCCACGGGTGACTTTGGGTCATTTCTCTAAGGTAGTCTATTTTAAAGTTTTTATGTGTTTATATACCTATCACACTCTTAAACTTAAAAGCCATTGTTGTATATTGTTTTAAATGTTTGTTTTGCTATTGGGATTGTGGTTCCATTTGCGTTTCTCAAGCTGGTTTTCTGACCATAATAAATTTCATGTTCATGTATCTCCTGAATGGAGTGCAAGGTTTTTTGCTGAGCTCACTTGCGAGGTTGCCCAAAGCAGGTTTGCAAGGGACCTTCCTTTCATTCTACAAATCACTTCTCTGGTGGTCCGTTGTGTCTGGTGGGGGTAGAAGACAGGAAAATCCACAGTAGGTGGATCACAGACAAGGACACCTGGGGTTTGGTCCTCCCTTCCTCTCTGCCAAGTGCATTTCTACAGTTATAATGTGGAGGTGGATTACTGAAGAAGGCAACCGTGATTGATTAGGATGGGTGCAGGAATGATATTTAGCTTTACATTTACATTTCCAGGCACAATTCAAAGTGTTGGTGCTGACCTTTAAAGCCCTAAACAGCCTCGGCCCAGTAGACCTGAAGGAGCATCTCCACCCCCATTGTTCACTGAGGTCCAGCTCCGAGGACCTTCGGGCGGTTCCCTCACTGCGAGAAGTGAGATTGCAGGGAACCAGGAAGAGGGCCTTCTTGGTGGTGGCGCCTGCCCTATGGAACACCCTCCCAGCAGATGTCAAGGCAATAAACAACCATCTGACTTTTAGAAGACATCTGAAGGCAGCCTTGTTTAGGGACGCTTTTAATATTTGATGAATTATTGTATTCAATATTTTGCTGGAAACCTAGCCAGCTGGATGGGGTACAAATATATTATTATTATTATTATTATTATTATTATTATTATTATTATTATTATTTGGAGCAAAATGAAAGCCTTCTGCTCTATGCAGTCCTGACCTGCTCAGGTTCCAGATCGAGAGGGATTTCACCCCTTCGTTTCGCTGCCTCAAACGCCTCATAAAACGTTTTGTCCCCGGACTGCAAAGTAATGGTCAACACTGCGTCGTAGGCTTCCCGGAAGGAGCGGTCGTTTTCCAGAATGAAGTAGGAGTGGTTTCGGTACGGGAGGCTGTAGAACAACGTGTCGTACGGCAGGAAGACGTATCTGCCATCGGCCAGACCCATTTCTTGGGCCTTCGTAAGCAAGGTAGCCTGTTCCTCTCCTCCGATGAGAGCCGAATGCATGCACAAAATGATAACTGTGGCACAGAAATCAAAGAGTCATTTTAAGAACACCAGAATGGCCAGGCTGCTAAATCAAACCAAAGGCCCAGGTATAATGACTCCCAACAGTGGAGGTAAAACATCATGGTCCTTACAAGAGCTGTATAAGGTACATAAGGCAGCCCAGGATTATTTCTGTCATAACAGAAGAGCCTTAATGGGTCAAATTAAAGGCCTATCTAACATACCCTCCAACATTCCTCAGATAAAAATAGGGACATTCTGTTCTACATCAGTAATAATTTATACATACATACATACATACATACATACATATGGGATGCGGGTGGCGCTGTGGGTTAAACCACAGAGCCTAGGACTTGCCGATCGGAAGGTCGGTGGTTCAAATCCCCGCGACGGGGTGAGCTCCCGTTGCTCGGTCCCTGCTCCTGCCAACCTAGCAGTTCGAAAGCACGTCAAAGTGCAAATAGATAAATAGGTACCGCTCCGGCAGGAAGGTAAACGGCGTTTCCGTGCGCTGCTCTGGTTCGCCAGAAGCGGCTTAGTCCTGCTGGCCACACGACCCGGAAGCTGTACACCAGCTCCCTCGGCCAGTAAAGCGAGATGAGCGCCGCAACCCCAGAGTCGGTCATGACTGGACCTAATGGTTAGGGGTCCCTTTACCTTTACATACATACATACATACATACATACATACATACCGCATCCATCTGGCTGGGTTTCCCCAGCCACTCTGGGCAGCTCCCAACAGAATATTTAAAACACGCTAAAACATCAAACATTAAAAACTTCCCTAAACAGGGCTGCCTTCAGATGTCTTCTGCAAGTAAAACAGTTGTTGAATCCCACTCAAAACTGTGACAGTCTGCAAGCGCCCTGAAACCTTCTCTATTCCCACCAGGCCAAAGGCTCGTTCTCACCCTCCTTACCTTTAATGTCACCGGCAGCTTGGATCTTGGCCCAAGTTCCTTCAGCGTCTCCATCTCCTCTCCCCATCGAAGTGACGACACCCACCGGGAGCCCCCGGTTCCTCAGCGCTGTTGCCAGCTTGTTAGCCGTGTCTCTCCAAAGCTCCTCTTGGGAAGAGACGATGCCGACATGAGCCCAGCTGAAATATTTCAACACGGAAAGGAGAATCCCCGTCGGAGAGGGCAACGTTCTTACAAAAGTAGGGTGGTAGCCTGGGCTGTCCAATTCGTCGCTGACACAGGCCCAGGAAAACACAGCTTTGTTCCAGCTCCTGCCAAGCAGGGAGGCTGCGGCGCAGTATCCTGGGTTCAGGGGACCTATGAAAGCTGACAGGTGCTTTTCATAGCCAATGAATCCAGCCAGGGCTTTAGAAGTCTGGCAGCCTTCCTCGCATAACGTGCAGTCCAGCTGATGGGGAGAGTTAACAGAAGGGTCCTTCCTTATCCGCTCCATGGCTAGCTTCACAGCAGCTTGGGGGAAAGCCTTGGAGAAGAAGGGGTCGCAGGTCCAAGGTCCCACCAGGCCGATGTTAAAGGCTGTGCAATATATTGGGAGAGGGAGCAGGGCCAAGCCAAGAGCCGCCCACCACAGCCCCACGGTGATCTTGCAGGGCAGTGGAATTGTACGTAGTCTTGCGCACCTCAAAATGTCTGGAAGGAAGCAGCTTGAACTTTGCAGGGAAATGGCCATCGTCTCCTGGCTAATTAGTGGCAAGTGAAGAATGAATGAATGAATCTTTATTTATGCATCTAGGAGCCAGTGTAGTGTAGTAGTTAAGAGCGGTAGTCAAGTAATCTGGTGAACCAGGTTCGCATCTCCACTCCTCCACATGCAGCTGCTGGGTGACCTTGGGCTAGTCACACTTCTTTGAAGTCTCTCAGCCCCACTCACCTCACAGAGTGTTTGTTGTGGGGGAGGAAGGGAAAGGAGAATGTTAGCCACTTTGAGACTCCTTCTGGTAGTGATAAAGTGGAATATCACATCCAAACTCTTCTCTTCTTCTTGTGTCAGCCATCGGCCATAGCAAAAATACAACAATACAATAGACAAAGAATAGAAATAAAAAGTCAGTTATATAAAATACAGTCGTAGCTCGAGTTACAGACGCTTCAGGTTGCGTTTTTTCGGGTTACAGATCGCTGAAACCCGGAAGTACCGGGATGGGTTACTTCCAGGTTTCGGTGGCCGCGCATGCACAGAAGTGCTAAATTGCGCTTTGCACATATGCAGAAGCACCGAATCGCAACCTGTGCAGACGCGCAGCTGCGGGTTGTGAACGCTGCAGGTTGCGAACGTGTATCCCGCACGGATCACGTTCGCAACCCGAGCGTCCACTGTACATTTTAGGGTTTTGAATCAATACAGTGGTACTTTGGGTTACAGACGCTTCAGGTTGCATACACTTCAGGTTACAGACTCTGCTAACCCAGAAATAGTACCTCAGGTTAAGAACTTTGCTTCAGGATGAGAACACAAATCACACGGCGGCAGCAGGAGGCCCCATTAGCTAAAGTTGTGCTTCAAGTTAAGAACAGTTTCAGGTTAAGAAAGGATCTCCAGAATGAATTAAGTACGTAACCAGAGGTACCACTGTAGTCAAACAGAGGATCTTATTCTGATTGCCCCAGCTGAAAACCTTGCAACATTTGTTGTCGCCTGCTCATCTTGATCTGCCAAGAAAAAGGACACTGTGGCAGTAGCTGGGAGACCCGGAATGGACAATATATGGAGGAAACTCAATATATCCCATGGACTGCAAGAAGATCAAACCTATCCATTCTTAAGGAAATCAGCCCTGAGTGCTCACTGGAAGGACAGATCCTGAAGCTGAGGCTCCAATACTTTGGCCACCTCATGAGAAGAGAAGACTCCCTGGAAAAGACCCAGATGCTGGGAAAGATGGAGGGCATAAGGAGAAGGGGACGACAGAGGACGAGATGGTTGGACAGTGTTCTCGAAGCTACCAGCATGAGTTTGACCAAACTGCGGGAGGCAGTGGAAGACAGGAGGGCCTGGCGTGCTCTGGTCCAGGGGCTCACGAAGAGTCAGACACGACTAAACTACTAAACAACAAGGTTATGCAGATAGGGTGCCAGAGAGGGTGGCAAGTGAAGGTCTTTGGGTCTACCTGGTCTGTCAACCGAGGATGCACATCACAAATGGAATGGGTAGATTCCCTCTGAGTGGGATGCAGCAAGGGCTAGCTCAGTGGCAGAGCATATGTCTTGCCTGCAGGACATCCCTGGGGAAAACGTTCCACAAATGGGGAACCACCACAGAAATATATTGTGAGGTAAGGACCACCACCTCTTTTTTTCTATTTCCTTTTTCTTTTGGCAAAGTAATCATCATAAATAAATAAGAATAAACACCTGCACCCCACCGCCGAGACCATTCCATTGTAACTATCCAAACTCCAAAATTTCAACACCTCTTGCTATGGTTTGACCCCTTTCCATTTCAACAGTACAGATTCTACAAACACCCTCCATATCTCCTCCAAATCATTCCTCCTGCATATTCCCCATCTTACCTTAATGACACATGTTAATTTATCATGAATAGCTATATCCCACACCTCTTCATACCATTCTTTTATATTCTGCTTGCCCCTTCCACTTCCTAGCTATAGTAATTCGTGCAGCGGTCAATAAATTTGTGAGCGAGTCCTTCACAGCCTGTCAACCTTCCACCCCATCGTAAATTGATAATAATGCTACCTCTGGACTTTCGGTCAGCTTTAACCCAGTGATTTCTGTCATCTCCTTAAACACCCTTTGCCAAAAGAATTGTACATATTTACACCCCAACCACATGTGAACATAATTCCCTGTTTCCTGGCATTCCATCCGACATAACACCGAATATTCTTTGTTTATTTGATTTAACCTGAGTGGTGTTAAATACCATCTCCAAACTAATTTATATAAAAAAAATCTTTTATTCTTACAGTCAACATTTTCAATGTACAGTTCTTCTATATAGTTCCCCAGCTTTGACTAACTATCTGCCCTATCTATCACCTCTTTTTTGATGCCCATGGCAGCCATTTCATGCTGACACCTGCAGGACTTTTATCAAGATATGAGTACTGGCACCTCATTTTTTACACACACACACCCCCAAAAAAGTGCTAATGACACCTGCACATTCAGGAAATCCTCTATAGCATCCTTGACCTGAGACCTTTCAGCGTGTGCTTCAAAAATCCACCCCACTAAAAGGCAGCCTGTTCTTATAAGCTCGCAACACCAGCAAATTATTCCGTATGTTCAGCAAAAATATCCTCTTTCTTATATTCCAGCCCATTGCTCCAGGCTCTAAAAACTGAATGAGGCAATGTGATATTGGTATTGGCCCAGGAACTTACCATTGGGGTGGGCTAGTCATGGAAATAAACCATTTTCAGCGATCATCTCTTATTTTCAAAGAGATCTTCAGCTATCTGTGTGGATGGGGAAACTGTTGCTCTGTGGGTTTTACGAGATATTATTTCAGATCATCTTTCTAGCAGGTGCTCAAGACGATGAGAGCCGTTTCCAACTTCACATTGCGATGCCCACAAAAATAAGAGTATCTGTCCTCTCCCGTCCAACTGTTTCTTGACTGTTTGATCAAACGAGCTCTAATGGACCATTTTGGATCAGTTTTATCAGAGTCAGGTTTTGGAGATCAGGACTATGGAGAATGAGACTCTATTTGGTCAGTTGCAGTTGGTCTGCTTCCTCTACATTTCATTCATCTGCAAGAAAACCACATGGAATCGACTTACCGGCTCAGTTGAATGTAGTTACTGACATTACTGACCACCACAACGCAGCCAGCACAGAGTTCGAGGGAGATACTTCACAACAGCAGGCTCAGTGGAAGCCCTTGGTTTTTCTTATGGCTTGAAGAAAATTCATTTACGAATGAAATAACCAGTCCTCAACTGCCAGAAGAGGCACCGACAGTTGCCCTGAACTTGGTTATAGAAAATGGCACGTTCAGCACCAAGGAGAGTTCCTCCCTTGGGGATTCCTAATTGGAACTGCTTTGACAGCAGGCTAACTAATGCTCTTGGTAGCGAATTATCAAATGAAAGGCACTGCTCTCGTTTCAAAGTTGTTCTCCTTTGGGAGGCTGCCACCAACCTGTGTGTCTCAAAGTAGCCCCAAATGCGACGCAGCATCTTAAATCCCGACTCCATTCATCAGCGAGTGAGGCAGCGCTTGTGAGCAGCCGTTCCTCTGTGAAAACACGTCCCAGCTCCGAATCGGAGGTGCCCGCCATGACTGCAATTGCAGGAAGAGCATGTTAAACCTCTCTTACTTGGGTTAAGAGGATTTTGATTCGTACAATACAGGTTTTGTTGCAGAGCTGGGAGGGCAAGGCAAATCCAGAGAGATCAAGGCCCTGGTGTTGGGGACATGGATTCAGAGTGAGGTTAGCAGGAAGTATAGCACACTTAAAGGGACGCGGGTGGCGCTGTGGGTTAAACCACAGAGCCTAGGACTTGCTGAAAAGAAGGTCGGCGGTTCGAATCCCCGTGACGGGGTGAGCTCCCGTTGCTTGGTCCCTGCTCCTGCCAACCTCACAGTTCGAAAGCACGTCAAAGTGCAAGTAGATAAATAGGTACCGCTCTGGCGGGAAGGTAAATGGCATTTCCGTGCACTGCTCTGGTTCACCAGAAGTGGCTTAGTCATGCTGGCCACATGACCCAGAAGCTGTACGCCGGCTCCCTCGGCCAATAAAGCGAGATGAGCGCCACAACCCCAGAGTCGGTCACGACTGGACCTAATGGTCAGAGGTCCCTTTACCTTTACCTTTATAGCACACTTAAGAATATTCCTCCCTATGGGGAGTTTCCCTCCAGAAGCTGCAGTTAGGGCAGAATGCTGCAGCGCGATTGCTGACACACCTTGTTAGCATACACAGTTAAACCTTATTGTCGAATATAATCCGTTCAGGAAGCCCATTAGGCTTCCAAAACGTTCGACAACCGAGGTGCGGCTTCTAATGGTTGCAGGAGCTTCCTGCACTCAAACGGAAGCCGTGTCAGACGTTTGGCTTCCAAAAAATGTTTAAAAACCAGAGCATTGACTTCCGGGTTTGTGGCGTTCTGGAGTCGAAACATTCCAAAATGGAGGCGTTCGGGATCCGAGGTTTGACTGTAACACCAGTGCTCAGAGATATGCACTGGTTGCTGATTTGCTACTGAGCCAGGTTCAAGGCATTACTGTTAGTCAGGAGTCAGCAAACTTTTTCTTTTCTTTTTTAAATGATATTTATTGGGAATTTAAAGTTACAGAAAAGAGAGAAGAAAGAAAAGCAAAGAAAAAAGAGATTCAGACAGGACTTTGGAAACTAAGGTACAAGCAATGATGATCAGTGGGCTGCTGTTCAGGGCAAAACCGCATTTTAATTGCTGGTTCTATTGTTGTTGTTATTATTATTATTATTATTATTATTATTATTATTATACTGCCCTATACCCAGAGGTCTCAGGGTGGTTCACAGAATAAAATCAAAATATCAAAAATAACCCGATAACCCGCCCATACACACACACACACCCCATTTTAAAAGGGCATAGGATGTCTATAAAATCAACGAAAAGCCTGGTTAAAAAGGAAAATTTTTGCCTGGTGGGTCTAAATGTGCTTCTGATGCATTTGATTATTGTTTCAAACTAGCTTGTTTTTTTATTA